CAAGTAGAATGATAAAACTATAGTGTACTGCTGTGTCTTAAAATATTTGTTAATGCGTGACTTGAATGTAGTAATTTAGTGATTAATTTTAAATTGTTTGGGAGAGCATTGCTGTCTTTAATTGCAGAGAAGAAATGAATGTAGAGGTAAGACCAACTTTACCCTGTGCTCACAAGTGTTGTATTTACGTGTACGCTTGACAATTTAATTTGACCAATATGAACTGTACATCACTTGTATCTTGACAATCTTCATTGAGAGGGATCATTCTATCATCTATAGCTGTTTCAATGTTTTGGATTTCATCGTTTGTTGGAAAATTTTGGTGGCCAATATGTATTGGCGAGTTGAATGTCCGAGCGTTTAAGGCAGGGGCGCGGCAACCTACAGCCATAATATTGGCGCTTATTCAAACGACACGTTCGCCTTTGGTTCTAGAGGTGGAACAAGTCTTCTCGGAAATGGACTATAAACCGTAGGCCTCGTGTACACAATAGGCTCATGTGCACTTTAATGAACCCTGTAGGCCTACATCTTTCAAGATGAGTAGGGGTTATCCCGGAGTACTGGTCCATACATCCCCTGTCGTCTTGTGATGGGGTTCCCACTCTGAAGAGTGATAAGTTCACTGTTCAGCATATCATGGGCCCTAGTTCCTAAAGTATAATAAAAAAAAATCAGACCATTTTACTTCTTATAGGTGAACTATGCATTATTTATATCTTTCTACAGAACATGGATGTCAGTGTCAGTGAATGGACATGTGACAAAATAAACAAAAGGGAAAGGGGTTAATTGAAGCATCAATGTTAATATACTTGACATGCAAACATAAGTATGCAGAATTAATGTGCGTGACAGCAAAGTATATCATTAATTCACTTTCACACTGAGTTCACATGTTTGAAGATTAAGCAAAAACAAATTATGAGAAACTGTGACCAACTCTGGTAATAAAACCCTGCTCTTTGTCAATTTCTAAAGAGAATCAGAATTTTGAACACTTTTTTGCATTTTATAAAAGAAGATTGAATAAAATTTATGCAAAATATCAATCATTATATCTAACTGATAAGATATATGTATTTTTTTTAAATACAAATCTTTATAACAAAATTTAATGACTTTGGAATCTTTGAAAAGTGTTTTCTCAAAATCTACATTGCTGATATCCATTAAATATTATAACTTCTTCACTAACAGTACACTCAACCAATTTACATCAATCAAATAAACACTGTTTAAAAAGAAGAAATCATGGAGAATCTAAAAATACCAAAAATTAAATTTTTGAATTTTCGCTCACAAACGCCTGGTTTTGCCAAAGCAGTCACAATTATGAAACATCACGTGTGTTTTGTTGCTAAAATTGTTTATTCTACCTAAACATGAAAATGAACTAATAAAAATAAATATATTACGTGTACTGGAAATGATAATTAAGTTTATGGATGATTTTAGTGAAAAAATTCTAGTTTGTGCTACAGTACCTAAAGTTTTATACGATAAAACTAATAATTTCCTTCCTACTACCTTGAAAATGTGTCTTGCAAAACGCTATACAGTTGGTACCGGTATTCTTATGTTGTATCTTTAATCCTTTATCTATGAAGAAACTGTTTATGGCTTCCTCATTCCTACTGACCTACATTAATTTTCGTCAATGTCATTGGAAATACATGCACATTATAAATGGTGTCTTATTATAGACATATAGAGCAATTTAATTATTTTTTACAAATTATTTCAAGCTTTATTGTCCTTTTGGGAAAAAAATGCTAACAAATTTACACTAAAACAACAAACATCTAAATGTAAAGAGCACAGATGCCTATAGGCATTGGTTTATTAACAACCATAAATATATTACCTATATTAAGATCTATTATATTGTTTAATATTATGATAAGTTTTTTTGAAATACCATACTATTAACAGTCACTGGTTGCCATTATGCTGTTATAAACTGAGCGGAAATAATATAATATAATAATTCCATTAATTTAAAGACCCTTAAATTAATGGAATTCACTTTTGGATTGTTTGTAGTAATGTAATGTACTTGAATTTATATAGTGCTTTACACCTATGAAGTGGGGACTAGCTTGTATGATAACTTGCTCCTCTCCTAAGGTAGGCCTACTCTTTGTGTAAGCTACCTGGCATGGTAAACCAGTACCAGCTACCCTCGTCTATCCATAACAGGGGCTGTACGAAACAAACCAGGGTAACCCACTACTCATCTCAAAAGATGTGCACATGAGCCAAATTTTGTACACGGGGTTTATGGTATAGTCCGAAAAGACTTGTTCAAATACCAGAACCATAGGTGAGCATGTTGTTCGAACCACTGCTGATGGCAGTACTTTGCAGCGCCCCTGCCTTAACTGCTCAACCATTTGACATAAGTCAGTAAAAACGGATTATTTTGGTCTGTGTTTCAATGGAAGTTAACACTATAATATTCTACTGTAAATAAGCCAAATTTTACATTGTCAGGTTTTTTTCCTCCGATAAAAAATAGAAAAATATTGACTATTACTTGGCAGATGCTACATTTGGTCATATTCATCGAATGAACTACTTTATTATTTAGATTGTGAGGTGCATGCAGTACTTCAACTGAATCAAATAATGAAAGACTGTTAGTAGAAGAAACATAGAAAGGAAACAAAAAGACTGAAAAGGAATAGAACAAAAGAAAAGTGTATAGAAATGAAAGGAATGAAACAAGGAAATAATAGAAAGAAATAAAGAAAAGAGAAAAAGTGAGAAAAGTTAATAATATATAGAAAATTAGAATTAATGTTTTCATTAAGCAACATAATCTATAATATGCAATTAAACAAATTAATATAAATATTTAATAATTTTTGACTAGGCTATTTGTAAAATTAAGCTTCACTATTTCGCTTTTATAGTACAACAAATCAATAACTAAAATAAATTAATTATTTTTCTTTTTTTCAAGAGTAACTGTGCCTCAGAATAGCCCGATAGATTGATTTCACAATAAGTGCTATAATTATTATTATTATTATTATTATTAGTGCCCGGAACATACCTGTATTGACAGGTAACAGAAAAATCAGTATCAAGATAAACATTTGTATCCTACAATGTTCTCATGACCATCTGCCTATAGTATAAAAACAATGGGCTTGTGACATAATAAAAAAAATTGAAGCAAGGCAGTTTCAACAAAATCATGTCTGCCCATTCTGTCCTTAGGCGTAAAAAAATTTAGTAAAAAAAATATGCCCGGGCCGTTAGCTATCAAAATATATCAACATGTATTATTATACGATAATTTTGGTGAAACTAAAGTGAATTTTAAATTGATATTCCCAGTTCAATGTTACAGAAAAGCAAATCGACTTTCACTTTATTAATCTAAAAAATCCCTCAAATTATGATTCTCTATAGCCTTTTTAAAGACTTTCTAGTCTGTGATTGGATAATAAAACTGGTATTGTACAGTATTTCACAGCTGCCTACAGTATCTTGTTTCCATTTTGGTCGGGTATAAATCTTACAACCCTATAATTAATATAAATTATTTTTATGGTACAGGGTACATGGAATTCTATGAAGAAAAAACTGTGAAATAAAAATTCAAATACAACTGCTGAAACTACAATTATTTATAAGTCAGTCATAACATCGTCATTTCCACAAAATTTCCATATCCCCAAGCTGATATTAATTTGATATAGTGTCTGATATTTTGTGATAAAAAAAAACAAGATGACTGCATTCTACAGCAATTACTGTCAAGTTATTTCAGACACTATGGAAAATAAAAGACAAAAGGGGGAATAATGGTCCAGTCTGCTCCTATTTTCTATAGTGTCTTATATAATACAAGAAAACATAAGTCACTAACAACAGATAACAATAATACAATGTTTTTATTATTATTATTATCCATTGTTAGTAGATTGGCCTATAATATGTTAGACTTTACAGCACTTCATGCCAATAATCCTCAAAGCGCTTCACATTATTACACCCGGTCATGGATCAAGCGCATATGGGACACATACTCGGCTCCTTGGGGAGAATTCCATAATGTTGCAGCTGTAATCAGCGCATTTGTCTTTGAAACTACTGTACAAGGACAATGCACTTTACCTACAGTTATCTCTCTCTACCCAGGAGTACAAACAAGTGTCATGATGTAATACCTAAGCCATCCAGTGATTCCTTTGAGGATCTGTATTCAAATAATCTTTATTATTCAGCTTGTTTGAAACTACATAAGCACACTCGGAAGGCTAGGTTTTGCACACAGAACCATGTAGTTGTTTTTTTTTTTCATTTACCATATACAGGTTTTAATTTTCTGCACACAATATGCAAAACAAAATTTCAGTATTGTTGAAAGTTTTGGGATGGAAAAACAAAGTTGGAGGTAAATTTGATTACATTCGAACTAACTAACAGTATAGGTACAGGTAATGTAATTATGACAGTATTTAAAAACAAAATTGTTTTCTCAAAATCAAATGAAATATTATCCTAACAAAACAGCAATACGCAGGTGTTAGAAAGGATACTGAAGAGACAACTATGTACATTTGTAGACATAACACTGACAATAACATTATTTCTAATGATACCTCAAGGTTCTAAGTAATTAAATTTTTCAACAAGCTCCTTTTGGGTGAATGAGTATCAACAAGGCATTGTTTATTAATTGACAAATGAATTTCCAAGGTAAAATTCCAATTTATTTCTTGCCAGGAAAGCAGTTTCTTATTCAAAGTTCCTTGGAAGTGTTTTCCATCATCAAAATCAATAGCGCATACAATTATATTTCCTGTATTGCCTCATCACAAATAATGTCCTTTAGCAATAATGACCCCTTCCTTCCAAATTCTCATTAAAAAAAATCAAAGTAAACATAATGCAAGAAAAAAGGTTACAATACAAGCAAAATAAAAATCAGACTTGTTATAACCAGAACCCCCAATCAATACAAATAACTAATTCATGATTTAAACTGCTTTACTACTTTCATATCATTTAACCCCACCCCTCCCCCACCCCCAAATCTGGCAGTGCAGCTGGCCATTTCAAAGCCCCAAAGGACTAAAGCATTGCCTTACAGTATGTACCAAGCTGCTTCAATCTTCACATTCTTAACAGCCTTTTAGTTTATGTCATGGTTTTTGTTTGAACTAACAACCGCACACAATACATGCCTGACTTTTTTTAACTACGATTTTGAAGACTAAGTATAGAGGGTGCACTTCAACTGTTAGCTGAAATTGAATTAAATCTAATGGTAGAGATCAGCAAAATTAAGTCATTAAGATACAGAATTTTTGGAAGACAAGTCATGATAAATGGACACTGACTGGCTTTCTTACTTTAATTAAGCACTCTTCACACCTACCTTCAAGGGAAGCAATAGATCACCAAATCTCTATTTAAGACCAACAGAAATCACCTTATATCATTCTCCTGATGTCAGTCAGAGCAATCTCACCAAAACGTTGAGACAACCAACATGGTGTTCCGAAAGTTTTATGATTTTGTTAAAGAAAATTGTCTTTTCAATATATACTCTTCACATTATATAATCTTTTAAATGATACAGTAGGTTTGTACTAGAATCAACTTATTATTGCCAGAGTTATGAGTAAAGGTCTGCCGATTTCTTAAACTAATCACGCAGTGTTAGCAACAGTACGCCGGTTTTTTGGATGGCAAGCCTCAAATATAAGCTAAAATTTTGCTGATCCCACCAGTTGAATACTGCAGTTTCTAATATTTTGGTGAACAATTTTTACCACCTAAGCATTAACCCTTTCACTGCGCATACCTGGAAGTACTGGGTAAAAAACATGTCGTTGAATTGCGCATCCTCGGTAAATATTTCGAACTATGTACAGTATGTTTTTATTCATTTTTATGTATCTTTATCATTACCCAGTTAAAAAAACAGCATCCCATAAGAATTTCTTGGGAGAAAAAGCATTTTTTTTTTTTTACAGAATTTATGAAAAAAGAAATATGCAATACGGCCGCAAAGTGGTCACATGACCACCTAATTATGAAATATACCAAATTTTATTTTCACCCCATAGGCCAACCTCTTGCCTATCCCAACATGCAAAAAGAACTTCAAAATAACCTCTTTTAGTATTTTTTTGGCATTTATTTCAAAATCACCTTTTTTCCTCCAAAAAAAAATCCAGCCCAGGGGTCCTATTTACCTACAGCAGGGAAAGGGTTAATCAGGTTAAAATTCTTTTGGAATAAAGATGTCGAAATAAAGTAGTAGTATCATACTCCCGAGCTTTGCATTTTCTGTTAGTAGGTAATTTTAATGGTAGAAATGTTTTAATCTGATGTAAGATTTTTTATTGTTAAAAAATGCAAAAATATTATTAGGAAATTAATGCATTTTGTTGGTTTTAAAAATTTTACAGCAGAACAATATAAAAATTCTTCTGATGAAGTATGGAAAATATATTAATAAAATTGGTTTGGTATTGGTATTGGTACGGTCATTTATAATGCGCCTCTTCTTGCTGTTATAAAGCGTAGTTCTTTTCCCTGGTTGGGTCAACACATGCTATGCGTTGCTGCTGGTAATCAGCGCAGGAGAAGGTAACCCCACCAGCTTCCCATTTATACTCCTGGGTGGAGAGAAGCAATGCAGATAAAGTGCAGACAAAAGCGAAATGCACAACGAGGGATTGAAACCCCGACCTCGAGGTTGGGAAACCAAACCGTTCCCACTGCGCCAAACCGCTTCCACAAATATATTATGACTTAAGCAGGGCACTGACTGTGTCGTATCATATCCAACTCCGCTCCCTGTCATCGCTAGATGACGTGATCCTGTCTGTTCATTGTCGGTGGCATTCTGAATGGATTAAAAACGATTGCTTCATAGCGTTCTCCATAGTGTTACGTCACGATACCACGTGATACTACACCGTTGCTATTGTTACAAAATGCATTCAACTGGACACCATTTTCTCCACTGATAAAAAATTTATCCCAATTTCTAACGTAATTATTAAGTAAATTCTAATTGATGATTTAAAGTGTGTTCAATAACTAATGTAATGTGAGCTTGTGTGTTTTTAGTACATTTTGATGGTAAAATATTGGATGTTAAAATGCCTATTCCAGAAAGACTGAGGTCATTCAGGAGTAATGAATGGTAACCAACGTCTGGTTGACAACAGAGGTCACAACTTGAAGTTGTGACGACACGACTGTGGTACTCTATAGAATCGCATCGGCCGACAACTGCCGGGTGCAGTGAATATCTGGCTTAAGCCTTACAGTATCTATACACATAAAAATAGTTACATATGAAGTACTGATGGTATATAAGTTGTGTATAGTAGATGAGTAAGTCTTACCTATACACAGGTGTGTATCTTTAATAATGGCTTTAAGGTGTCTAGCATATGCCTCTTCTGTCAATTTCTTAATCTTTTGTTCCTCATTGTCACCATTAGACAGCTCGAGATCCTCTTCTACATGGCTTGTCACTGAGTCAGTTTTTTCTGAAATACCATTAATTTCACAATCTTTATCTTGTCCATCTTTCAATTCACCAGCGTCCGCTGTAATCTTGCCCTCAACATTAATCTCTTTTTGCACAGCAGATTCAATGTCATTTTTTATGGATTCCATAAGTTTTTTGGCTTCTTCCTCACTTTCTTGTAGTGCATGATCAATATTTCCTTTTACTGTCTCCACCACCTCACCCATTGATGCTGATGTTTCTTCTTTATCTAAATCAACTTCACTATCATTATTTCCAATGTGCTCAATAGAACTATCCATATTTCCAGTACTTTTACTACTGTCATTTTCATCTTTGATAGTTGATGTACTATCCACCGTCTTTGCCAGATCATTCTGATGATCACTGACATCCTGACCATAACTAGTTTCTTTTTCATTGGGGCTGCTTTCATAATCCTCAACAGAATTTCTTGCACCATAAGGACTAGCAGATTTAGTGCCATCCTTGGAGAGTCTGTTGCTTGCTTCACTGCTTAAGTCACTAATAGAGAAATCATCCAGTTCATCTTCATTGCAGTCATTAAACATCTCATCTTCATCCAAGAAGTAATCTTCCTCAGATAGGTGTAGACTGGTGATGTTGTCTTGCAACTTCCCTGGTGATTGGGATAATCTCTTCGACAGATCATCTTGCAAGATAGCCTCTGCCCTATCTAATTTTGTGAAACTCTCACTGCGAACATTTATGTGTCCATCTGCAAAAAAATGAATTTGTATGAGCTAAGATACATCATGTCTTCCTTCATTAAGTATGGATTAAACCACAATGGTGCCATTACTAAATGCATACTTTAAAAATAGTAGTAACAACTTTTTTTTAGAAAGGGAAACATTATGGCTTTAATAACCTTTTCAATAATATCATTTTTGTAATCCTCCATTTCACTAAAAACGGTCGGCCAACTGTTGGCACCAAAGTTCCAAAAATGCAAAATTTCTATATGGAAGTTGGCGATAAATAAACCTGTACTGTAGGGTTCAATAATTGATTAAATTAAGTTCTAATAGGATCCTTCTTTCTTCTTAATTGAGCGTAAGACAAAGTTGCTTGGCATAGAAGCCTAAAAAATGTTGTTCTTCATTTACATAATTTCTTATTTTTATCAAATTGTAAAGCCAAGGTTCTAATATAAGTGCAGTGCAAACTATTTTATTTCAATAAATACAAAACATTATCATTTCTCTTCTCTCTTCATAGATAATTAAGCATACCTGTGAAATTTAATTTGTCTATGCCATTGTAAGGCACAGTTATTGCACATAGAGCTGTATCAGCTTCCTTCAATAGTGGTTCCACCTTCGTTTGAATCTCTAGCTGATACTTCTGTAAGAGCTGTGTGAGGGGATGGTCCTGGCAGGCCAGGATCTTGGACACAAGTGCATTAATCAGATCCAGATCTTGTGGAGACTGACTCAGTTTAGTACGCCATGACTTCAGCCAAATCTGCAGGAAAACCAATTCAATAGATTTGAAGATATTATAAAAGGGAATGGCATGGCAAATCCCTCAAATGATGTAAAAGTTCAAAAAAATGTCATCTTTGGAAATAAAACCTAAGAACTCCATCTGTTTTCTGTATCGAATAATTACAAAAATTTTAATTATCAAATGAATCCTGCAAATTCAATTTTGGTTTGGTTTGCATAACAATTGGTCTATGGTCGTTATCTTACTAATAGAATTCTCGTTCTGGAGAAGGCTCACTCTCAGATTTATGATTGGTTGCTCATCAATGGAACTTTCCAGAGTGTCAATCAAACTTAATAACTGTCAATCAGAAAAGGGCTAGGAATACGTGTGTGTATAACGAGCACACTTCATAAGCCTCCTACTTTATTACATTTCATTCATCAGACCTCGCATACTGTTCTATTACAGTTTTGTCTGCTCAGGAGCTTCTAGATACCTTGCTTTAATTTTCTGAGATTTGAACGGGTAAAATTTAAATTTCATCTTCAATTATACAAATCAATTTTTAACCTATTTTGGACTACTACTCTTATGTTTAGAGGCCGAATGAAAAAACTTACTGTCTGATGTTCATACTCTAAGACACTAGCATAGACCTGTCGTCTCTCTAGTTCATCAGCAGTAGGTTCTCCAGTACTCGAGAATCTTCTGGAAGCTTCTTCCATCAGCATCATGTGGCGTTCTTGAACTTTCTTAGTTATCTGAGATTCAGATGTAAGTTAAATGGATAGAATGATGATTTTGCAATGATTGAGGGAACATGTTACTAATGAAAATTATATTGGTCTGTGACAAATGAAACTGAAATAAAAAAAAAATCCTTAACATTTTATAACAAATTTGTAATCTGCCCATGAGTCATGTATTATTTTTGTTGTTGTTGTTGTAAATGACCAAATAAATAATGAAATGAAATGTAATTTATGATCATTTTTAGGAATTCTTGATCATGAATGAGTATGTTTGTTGGTTATAAGTTATGAGTGTGTTGTTAGGTGAGACTATATTTTATAGCTTGTTTCACAAACTTATCTTTTTAAAAATAGTCAGAGGAGGAGGGCGGAAAAAATGAAATTTCTTTTTCTTATTTAGCAAATAGTTTTGTTAAACACATGCAGATGGAGGAGAAAATAAAGATAAACATTTTATTGGTGAATTAAAACAGTGAGGTAATAGGATGGTTTAATGCTTTAAATTCATATAATTAGGAAGAAATATACATATCTTATTTTTGGAGATTTCAAAGCAGCGGTGGGCGTAATAAAAATAAATAAAGAAAAAGTTTTTTTTTTTTTTTCCTGAAATTTCCATTTTTTACTGCGGTGGGTGTGATAATAGGCCAAAAATAAATTTTTATTTTTAATTCGAAATTGCCATTATTGGCAGGTGGTGGGTTTGCTAAAGAGGTATAAAACAAGTATCGCTTTATGTATGCATATTTAATTTCTATGTGTTCACTTCTATTAAATTTTTGTCTAAATCCTATTGAAATCACTTCTAAATTGATTTTGAGTTCCATAACATCTACATCTTGATTTTGCAACACAACTTTAAATTTTAAATGGCATCATACATTAGGGTGCCTTGTCGATGCCTTTTCATAGCTATTTTGTCTATTTAATTCAGAGTACTGATAATAAGATGGAGCAGATATATTGAGTACTCAGCACAATGTATAACAGAATAAGGTTTTAAGGATACAGCTGCCTCTTGCGCTCTTGCCAAGGACATGTTCTCCAGGAGTTGACGTTGTAGCTTCAAACTCTACAAAGAGATTTAAAATCATAGTCAGTGCACTTTTATGAAGACTTCAAATGTTGAAAGAATACATTTACTATTTACCTCATCTCTCATATGTAACCATTATAAAAATTAATGCTTAATCTTGGTTATAAAAATTCAGTATCTGCCCCTGGTTACTTGGGAAGTATTAGCAGCATGGTAGGTTAGGCAGGGTTGCCTTAAAGGAAGAAGAAACTAATTGAAAGTGGTAAGCAACCTGGGTAAGTTCAGAAGCAGGGTAGTCGCCGTAAAGTTTATAAAATGGTATTGCCTAAAGAGCAGATTATATAATAATAATAATGTCATATTTATATAGTGCATATTGCACATTGCCCCTATGCGCTTTACAGAGAAATAATATAGATTAGTCTGGGGAGAAGGGTTGTTGAGAAAGTAACGAACACTAAGAAAAAGAGAAGCCTAGGACAGAGTGCTGTGTAGTACAGGGACCAAGGTATAGATCACAATACCACTGGAGGTCAAGCTAGTCCACTGGGTTGGGCAGTTAATGGACAGGATAATCTTTGAAGCAAGGTAGTCCATTGGAGAGAAAAATATGGAGAATTAGGTACAGTAGTTCATGGTAAAGTAGTTTATGGGACAGGTTAATACATCGAACAGGATAGATTGTTAGGATAAAGAGTACTGATGTTAGAGGGTGTAGATTGGGGAGTGGGAACAGGCACCAAGAAATGAGGTATGATATTATAAAGGAGTAGAAAAGCCTATGATGGGTGGATCTAGTACATTTTTGTCAGAGGGAGCCAAGTGACAATAGGGGATTTACAGTCAAAGTGGGAGTGTTCCTTCTCTAATGGGGTCAAGGGATCCCGTAAGAGAATCCCTTAAGAATACCATAAGGGATCCCTTAGAGGATTCAGAGTTTTAACCATTTTTGCTTCTGCCTCGTGAGCAGCCTGTTTGCCACCCCATGAATCGATCACTACCTATGGAGCTGGGCACCCTAAGCGCTACGTAGAGAGGTAATGTATCTTACCAGCATTGAACGATGTTTTTCATTCTTGGTTCTTGACATTCGAGCCTTGAAGCCTGCCAAAAGCTGTTGGTTCTTTCGATATGCAATTTCTGTAGGTGATGGCTCATTTCTTCTACAAGTAAAAATCAATTGTTCACTGAATTGCAGTTTAAAATCATTTTCATTTTACTTTACTGCATCAACATGGATAAATCCACATATTGTTCTTTTTTTTGGCAAGACGGGTTCCATGGTCAGTATAGTTGGCCATGGAGTGGATCTCACAGCATTTCAATTTCATAAGCTCCGGATTAAACAAGTGGAAACAACTGAAATTATTAAATCTGGGAGCTATTAGGAGTGTATATACCGATACAAACAATTTTTTTGCAATTTTCATGTTTTCACAATTTCATCTTCATCGCAAACCCTAAAATCTATAGGCACAAAAAACAAAATCAGTTTTACAGTATTCACGAAAAACGGTGCTTTGGAAATCATTGTTTAATTATGACAGTGTAGACCATAAATTTGATTACATCACTTGGAGCACATTGTAAACAGGATACTATAGTGGCAGATTCAAAAATTTGAAATAGAGGGGGCCCAAAGAAGGAATTATACAGACAAGGGTATATACCACCTGAGCCTGACAATGGCTGGGGCTGAATTAAAGATTATGGCACCTCTAGATGGCTGGAAATGGCCCTCTCAGACTTAAATTTGAATGAAATTTTGTGAATATTTTGTATAAATTTTGAAAAATTTGGGGAGGGGTGGCACGGCTTGGCCCCCTCAATCCGCCAATTCATTGTAAATGTTTCATTATTTTCAACAAGCTCATAATAATGTACACTACACAAACCTGACACTAGAATGTTGTCGATGAAATGAGGGTGGTGTTTGCAAATGAGCATGAGGTTGCTGTGGTCCAGCAGTAGACACAGATGACAGCTGTTGTGTTGTGGTGGGTACATCCGGAAACATTGAGATATTGGTTTGTGGTTCATTGTTAGGTAATGATGCTGGTTGTTGGTTGGTGCTTGGAGGCTTGTGTCGGGGGATAGATGCTTCACTGATTGGTCTCCTAAAATCTATACTAATTTCTTCACTATCATCTGCAACAGAAATTTGGAGTTGTTCATAATCAGTAAAAAGTTAATATATTATTAGATGTTTTAAGCTTGTTACAACCGCTAATGTATACAACAACAGCTTCTGTAGTAACAACCATTGATGTAGCACACTCCACCACTTATGTAGTAACTCCGTAATGCAGAAAACTAATATCTTATGTAGTAAAAGAAAATCCACCTCAGCTAATGTACAGTAACATGGTCAGCAGCTAATGTATTGTAGAATGTAGTCACCACAAGTCATGCCCATTTTTTTTAAAAGTACCCCTACAGGTTTACGCACCATTAGGAAATGTGCAGGCAATCTGACTTTAGTTCCTCCTATGTTTTTCAGCTAATTGTATTACATTGTAATATTCTACATTAGATGGCGATAGTTACATTAGCTGTGAGGCAATTTTCGCTACATTTGCTGTTGACTGTTGTATAAAAATTAAATTTTATTTTTGACCTGTCAGCCACAAACAGATGGAAATTTCAGAAAAAAACAATTATTTTCTTTTTATTATGCTTACTGCCACCTTGAAATCTCCCAAAAGAAGATATCAATATTTCTTCCTTAATTATATAAATTTAAAGCATTTATCAATCCTACTACTACTAGTAGGCTGTTTATACCTGCAAGCTTTTTCCCCCACTCCCCAGTTTTTAAACATTAAGAAATCTATATCTCATTATAGATGTACTGTCCCTTGCAAAAAAAAAAAAAAAAAAAAAATCATAAAAATCATTTTTGAAATTTACTTGCCCATTTTGAAGTAACATAAAAATTATCAACTTGAACATAGAAATTAGTGTCTTTAAAAAATGCTTACCCATAAAAACCATCATTTTACAGCGAAAAAATGATAGAAACACTTCCAGTCACTGGAAGTGTTTTATTATCTTTATTATAATTATCCAGTTAAAAAATCAGGGAACACATTTTTTTAATTTAATAATTTCTATGCTCAAGTTAATAATTTGTATGTTACTGCAAAATGAGAAAGTTAATTTAAAAATTATTTTTTATGATTTTGGTCATTTCAAGGGACAGTACATCTTTAACTGTTCCCCAGTTTTTCATCAAACAACTTTTTGCTGTCTCAGAAAAATCAATTCTACAACATATCAAAATTTGTTTCCTCCAAAGCCAAACTTCAAGATTTAACTGTCCTGGTGTAAATTACCTATTTCAGTTAGAAGATCTGCTGCTCTGTCCACGCACTGTTGACACAACTTGGTCATCTTGCGTGTGTTACTAGTGCTTAGGTCACGTCCACCTAGTCAATGAACAAAAGTATATCAATAATGCCTCACTATTTAACTCAACTGCACTGATCTTATATCGATGTGAGTTTCCATCAGGAAAATATCATAGGAGTGATGTTTTGCCCTACCTGGGGTGTTATGAACCGAATACTCAGTATGTTCCAAAATACTTGCGAAAATAATTCGCAAGTGATTTGGGTGAAAATCGAACCCACGACCTCCAGATAACTAGCCTGGCGCCATAACCATTAGACTACCAGGCTTGCGCTTAGTGACTAGTGTTGAATCTGATCCCCAAGTAGTAGCGGGTACTGCAAATGCTATATCGATGCGAGTTTGGGTCAGGAAAATATCATAGGAGTGATGTTTTGGCCTACCTAATGTGTTATCGTACCTGTGTTATCAGCATCTTTCAGGAGAGAGTCAGCTATGAATTGAACACATCTTAGGTATTGCAGATAAGCATTCTTTAAAAAAAAGAATTATGGAAAATTAACATTAAAAATTACAATATTGTAAATTTCTTGAAAAAAGGGTGATCAGATTCTTATAAAAATGTTTGCAGTAAGACAGATATACAGGGCATCAACCTATTACGCACTCAGTACCCTTGAGACATCCTGAGCTTGGAAACATTTGTATCAAGGCATGGGGGTCATCAGTTTGTAAAGTGAAATTTTCTTTTTTAAAACTTAGTCAAAGATCATTCCTGATGATGACATAATTAATGTCGAAATATTGAATCCCAACACGATGGCGTGTATTTCAATACTTGGAGTATGTATTATACTTTCTTATCTGAGATTAATCAGTGGACCTTTCGGTTTTTAGTCAAAGAAAATTGTTATCATTTAAAAATTCTACAAAACCAGGACAATTGGGCTTCAGTAGTACACTATACAGTGGGGCACAGCAGATGAAAGCATAACAATCCTGCCAAAAGTGGAACAATTGAAATCGATGAGAACATTCTACCAGTGTGTAATACATTAATAATAATAATAATAATAATATTTATTCGGCAAAGTTAAAAGTATACATACAATATTCTTGCCAGGAGTAAGTAATAGGCATAAGCTCAAACAGTAAACTGCTCTTACTCCATCATCAAAAACAAATACAATGACAATACAATATAAATATATACAAAAAAGTAAATTCAAAATAAATTGATTTAACTATAACAAAATGAAAAACAAAGATAATTAATAATAGTTATTATTAGTATTAATATTTTGAGATCAAGTGTTTTGTGAGCTGGGCTTTAAAGTCCGAAATGGATGTACATTGTTTAATTTCATTAGGAAGTTGTTCCCATAATCTAGGAAAAATAACAAAAGATGAATTTAAAAATGTATTAGTCTTGGCTTTCCAATGTATTAATCGCCCTTCACACCTTTCACTTGATTTCACAAGATTATTAAACGACAATGGACATTGTCCATGCATAATTTTAAAACCTAACGTTAGTCGATATACTTTAAAAATATTAAAAACATTAAAACATTAGAGGTATATTGAGACTCACACCACAGTCTAGTAATTTTTAGCAAAATTTGCACAGATATTAACCCTTAACTTTTTGCACTAGGCCCGCTCTTTTTTTTTTTTGCTCGGAATATATTCCCCACTCAGGTCTACCTTTACTGGGGGTCTTGGGGTATAAAGCATAGCCACATTGCAAAAAAATACAGAAGCTGAACTCACCTTTTTTTTACCCTGAGAGTCTAATTTCAGAGCCTCTCTGACTCCCTTCTTAGCTAACTGGATACAGCTGTCAACCTGCCTCGAGCTGCTTTTACTCGGCTCCATCACAGCACAAATCACCAGTGCTGAAACTAAGATAATGAGGCTGTAAATTTAATTAATACTGTAATAATATTAATGACATAATTGGCTAGGTAACAATAATATTAATCAATTAGTAGAGCTCCGCATAGTACACTATAGGAAAATTGTTATACGAAGGTTAGATTTAATGCTTGGAAAAATTTTTGAATGCATTAAAATCTAACCTAAGTATAATAATTTTCCGCTAGTGTACAATGCATGTTCTACTAATTGCTTTATAAGTCAATTGCCATCTTTTTAGTGTTAGTTTTGATAACAAAAATTCAGAATTCAAACTTAGATGCGAAAGTGCATTATTAACGCCGGGGCAAGCTGTAGGCCTAAGTTTTGATACGATACCAACGCCTTAGAATTGCCGAATTACCCAAGCTACCCTCTCTAGGTATCCTACAATAGTAGCCTAGTACTAGTAGTAGTAGTGAGTAATAAGGCCGAGCCAAGCCTGCTAGCTGGGCTAGGCCTAGGCCTCCTCCTATATATAGGGTCTAGGCCTATTATGGTAGCTTCTTACTTAGGCCTAGCTTATGCTAGGCCTACTAGAACTAGCCTAGGCTGGCATTAGGCTAGGGCCTATATAGATAGGCCCTAAAGCTGGCCACCTCCTATTTACCTCAACTCTGCTATTCAGACAAATATGCTACACTTTTCGTCTCAATTACATTGTACAGTGTCACAAAATGAAAGAGATCAGTGGGTAACTTTTAATAGAACTCACGAGAAATCCCCCAATTCAACTGACGATGAGTGTACCTTCAGTGTCACTTTCTACGGTCCGAATATCGCCATTTACCATGGATGGGATAACCTATTTTGATTAGGCCTAGGCCCCTGGGGCTAGCCTAGTTTCCTTCAATGATATAAAACATGCAAGAAAGATTTGACATTATTTCATAATAAATATGAGTCTTGAGATTATATTGAACATTTATATTGAAAATGAATACTTATTCTAGGCCTCTAGGCCTAGGTATAGGCCTATATTTATGAATAATTATTACTGTACTAAAATTTTGGTTAACCTATACAAAAGTGGTATATTCCACATTTCCGGAAAATTACGAATTATGATCGGAAGAAGTCGGATGCGTCCTCAAACATCATGGCCGACAACGGGGAAGAACTAGTCGTAAACGGAAAACCAGTCAGCTTATTAAGAGTCTTAGACTTAAAACAAGAGCTTAAAAAACGGGGATTGTCAAACAGTGGATCCAAAAATCAACTTTTAATACGTTTGAAAGCGGTATGATATTTTGTTTTGTTGCAATGTGCCTTGGCCCTCTACTAGCCTAGCCTAGGCCTACACCGCGTTTCCTTTTTGATTTATTCTTGGTTGGCTTGGAGCTGCTTTCGAGTGGTAATACAGTAGGCCTATGGTAGGCCTAGGCCTAGCAAGAAAACTGCCTAAACCTTGGCTCCTAGGCCCTAGATAACTAGGGATCCGATAGCTAGGTAGTAGGAGCACACACAAAAAATTATATCCTTCAACTGACTTCAAATAATAAAAAATATAGTTTCACATTTTGTTTGGCGCTAATGCACTTTAGTACTGTAACACTTCTATCTTCAAAAATAGTATTTTTACCTATTGTGCACTACTAACAATATCTTACAATGATTTTTCATCCAGTTCTGCCACTAATAACGCCAGATTTTAGCATTTTATTACTAAAACCACGACTTTCAATGCCTAAACTATAGTTCCATCCTTCGTCTCCGTGTTCAGCGAAAATATGATGGCGAATTGGTGATAGAGCCTAATTCTGTTGCCAGAATTCAAACTATGTGTGTTGGTGTTAGTAAATCAAGCGTCAGATTCTGAACTTATCTGTAGAGCGATGAGAAGTTCTATGTCTCGTGAGAGAAGGGAAATGGAAGACAGCACAAAAATGCATACATTATTTAATGAAAGAATGTATGAATAAATATATGAAGGTCCTAAATGCAATGTCCTGGGTGTAATAATGACCATGATTGAAAATTGATTGAAAATTGATTAATTGAGTGAATGGTTGTTTAGGTACGTGGATGGGTGAGTGACTGATTGCTTGATTAATTAATTGATTGATTGATTTAATAATAATAATATAATAATAATAATTTGATTTAATTTGAGTTAATTCAGAAAATCATTGCACAATTACATCGAAACATTGGTAAAGAAAAACTTATAGGCCTAATAAAAAATTAATATCAAACAGAAAGCACAAACAGTAGCATTCTACTCCAGCAGAATACCGGTGCATTTTTTTCTAACCTGGTTGGGATCCATACAATATGTCTTCTATGATCACACAATTGTTTTCAATTCACGCAATTTGATGGTAATGTGTTGTAGTTCAATATGTAATGAAAAACTGAATTAAACTATCGCAAGTATTACAAAGAGAGTGCTCAATGGTAGAGCAGATTGCCTAATAAAATTAGGCAATTTTATCTGAAGAGTGTCACATGTGTTGTTCCGTCCTAGTTGTTGCTATGGATCTGAGATAAGATGTTCACGTTCAGCCATAGTTCGTTACCAAGTACGTTCATTGTTCTGAAGTGAAGGCGTATTGTAAACCCTATCTCAGATCCATGGCAACGACTAGGACGCTCTCCCAAAAAGTGCACAACCCCAAAAATAGCGGAAAACGATATCTTATTAGTATAAGATATTTGATTTGGAGCAGTTAAGTTGTGAGGGTTGTCAAAGATCTTATAAATACAAGATAGCATTCTCCGCTAATTCTGTAATAGCGTACATGAACCTTCTTGCTAAGTTGAAAACTTTTGAACCTTGATTGCTCTGACCATAGCGTACGCCGCTCGACTTTACGTTTACGCATAAGAATTAGAAGCTTCCGATTTACAATGCGCCCTCTCAGAACATTATGAACAAGTTAACGTACTTGGTAACGAAATTTTGCGTAACGCGAACACCCTATCTCAGATCCATGGCAACGACCTAGGACACACTCTCCCAAAACTAATTATTTTCTGTGCCAAATCAAGGCAATAGACCTTTCCGGAGTGTCAATCAAACTTAACAACAACTAATCAGAACAGCGCTAGGAATGCACGCCGTCTTACAAACACACGTGTTGTCCCACAAACGCACATGTTCGCGTATGTTTTAACACTGCCGTCTTGCGGGACCTTAGCAACAATATCCAAGGGGCGGAGCTTAGCGGAAAGGTCCATTAAACAGGAGGACGCACATCTCGACGGGACATAAAAGTTACGAAAATTTATTTTCTTTGTTTATATTTTATATTGTTCATGGGTGCACCATCAAAGTGATGGGTGCCACTAATCTGAAAGTGAACCCAATAAATCGTCGTATCGCGGAGAATGCTATCTTGTTATTTTAAGATATTTGGCCCAAAATGTCCAGCACCCCCACAATCATTCACGACCCCCTTTAGGTAGGGTTGTGGGCGAAGAATGGCCCTAAATATTAAAGTGAATTTAATTTTGGCACTAAATGTAATTATGAGGGTCCCAAGTGTAATAATTTTTGGCTCTAAATGTAATACAGGTTATAGGCCTATGTGTAATAATTGTGGGGTCTAAATGTAATAAAGGTCTTTAGTGTAACAGTTTTTGGGGTCTATACAAATGCTAATGTGTAATATTTTTTGGGTCTAAATGTAATTAAGGTTCCAAGTGGAATAATTTTGGGTCTAAATGTAATGAAAAGGTTCTAAGTGTAATAATTTTTGGGTCTAAATATGATAAGGTTCCTAAGTGTAACAATTTTTGGGGGTCTATACAAATCCTAATTGTGTAATAGTTTTTTGGTCTAAATGTAATAAAAATTTTCTAAGTGTAATAAGGGTCAAAATGTAATAATTAGGTCCTAAGTGTAATAATTTTGGGGTCTAAATGTAATAAAGTTTCTAAGTTTAATAATTTTTGGGTCTAAATGTAGGTCCTAAGTGTAATCATTTTTGGGTCTGAATATAATAAAGGTTCTAAGTGGAATAATTTTGGTTCTAAATGTAATAAAAATGTTCTAAGTGTAATAATTTTTAGGTCTAAATGTAATAAAGGTCCCAAGTGTAATTTTTTTTTTTCAAATGCTATGAAAGTTATCCTAAGTGTAATAAATATAATTAAGTTTTCTAAGTGTATCTATATTGATCATAAATTATATGGTCCTACAGTAAAAGCATCGTTGACAACGAAACATTTTCAAATGGGAATTTGATGTGAATGTACCTTCAGTATGTAATAGCTGTTGGCTCTAAATTTAATAAATGTCATTATTGTACCAGAATATTTAATAACAACAGTAAAAACAATTAATATTTATAATACTAAATAATAATAATGAAAATTATCGCTTTAACAAAATGAAAACAAGAACCTGGCAACGAAAAGAGCTGTTCTTAAAATTGGATAACAACCTGGCAATTAGTTATTTATAAACAACAAACATGGCGAGCTGCACCGTCATGAGTCGCTGGAATAAAATGTGTTTTTAGTAATAAAATGCTAAAAACCGGCGTTATTAGTTGCAGAAGTGAATGAAAAACCATTATAGGATATCGTAATAGTAGTGCACAGTAGGCGAAAATACTATTTTTGAAGATAGAAGTGTTACAGTACTAAAGTGCATTAGCGCCTTTTATTCAATTGATTATTGTTTGAGGAGGCTAGATTCAAGATAGTTTCATCTTATTGATCTGTTGCTTCCCGGCTATTTAGAAAGACTATCTGACAATTTATATTGTTATCCATATAGATGATATTGAAACGGATTGAAAGCTTTAAAAAATCAATAATTTTCTAACAAAATAAAAAAAAAATCAGAACCATAGCAGAGCCATGTTAATGATGACAATGTACAAATAGTTAATGTATAAATAGTACACATGCGCGTACATCTTCACTGCCATTCCATGTGTCGCACCTAAAAATAGCCAGTTGTCTATATTTAGCATTTAACCTACTTCTGTCTTTGCAGAATTTGGCCCATGTTCTTGAAGGTGGCGAAAAAAAGAACCTGTTTTAGGAACGTCCCAATATTTTTTTTTAATGATATTTAGTCCAAGCAACTAGTACAGGCCTAGAAGTGACTGAATTTTTCCATCTTATTAATACAGAAAGAAGCCCGAAACGGCCTATAATATTTCCATTTATTAGTGTATTTTAGTTACATTATTCAGAATATGTATCAAAATGGAAATGAAAAAGCAAGAAAATACAAACCTATGGCAGCTTCTACTCAAGAGTACCATGGGAACCTATGTGGGAATGTTTCTTTCATCTTCTTTCATTATATCATTCAGCATTTAAATTTATTTATATATGTAGTATTATATACAGTACATGATCAGAACATTTATGGTAAATAGAAAAGCAACTAAGAAAAAGAAAACAAACAAATTACTATATTTCATAAATCTCCATCTTATGTAAAGCATTTACTGTATAAACATGGCCAAAATATATAATCGGAAAACGCAACAAACGATAACAATCGTGACAGTGTTTCAAATCAATCCACTTACATTTCATTGTTTCTGTAAAAGAGAAAAACAACACCAATTAAACTGATTATTAATCAAATACTAATAAAAATAATTGGACAATTCGTGGAATACCTGCCATCGAGTTAGGATTCGCGTTCACCAAATTGAACATGAAAAATAAATTTGTAGGCCTATAACGTCCCAGGGGCTGATTTAGAGGGAAAGTTAAAAAAAAATTAAAGAAAAAAGAAAAAAGAAAATGCCTCAGAATTTATTTTCGGGCGTCTAGAAAGCTGGGGGATGCCCCGGACCCCCTAGGGTGGTGTTATCTCGATTTTCTCCCTCCTTTTTTTCAGACATCTGGATCCTATATAACACTAATTTTTTTCAAGTGTTGGTTTTTCACATAGTGATCATTTTTATGGAGTTTCATCAAAATCTGAGAGGGTCGTACTGGATTTTTTTTTTAATCTGGTTGATTTGACACGGAACGACCCAGCCCATTTTTTGTTGGACCAATCTCCATAACTGTTTATACTGTTGTATTTAGTATGCACCTTTAGCTCATTTCTGTGGGGATAAATTTAAAATCTGTTAATAATATCTAAGACATTATAGCTGGTTTTTGTTGTTGGTCTTCGCAACCAGTGCATTTGTACAAGTCAATGTTCAAAGTGTCCAGCTCAAAGACATTTACGGTACATAGCAACCATAGTACCAGTTATCAGAGTAGTCACAATGGATCATAAATGCACCTGCCAAAGGCTGGCGTCGGGTACCCCAGCACAGGGATTAGTAATATGCAAATGCACTGACCCAGAGGTCGTAGTGTCTCAGAGGCTGTGTGTCATGAACCCTACCCTAAATTTGTTTCGATTCTTCAGACTATTACAGTAACTGTAAATCTTGCCTAAGTCTACGTTGCCTAACCTAAATATTTTCTTAGTCGATCTTACTTTACATGCCAAATTTCTGTGTTTTCCATTAATTAACAACCTGTAGGTCGAATTTTAAAGTCCAACCATTTCTCAAATGCCAATATTTTTTGAAGTATAAGTGTCATTTTCAGGCATCCATAAATGTTTTTGAAAGTTTCTTGCCTTAGTCCCAACCATTGGGCTGGAACAGGTTGTGTATGGGGTTTTACATCTGCTCCCAAAAAAAAAAAAAAACAAAAAAAAAACCAGAATTTTAGTGCAATATGTTCATATTAAAAATATCTCCATTTTTACAACTTAGTTTTTTGGAAAAAAAAAAAATATCCAGCCGACTCACCGCCAGTAGGAGGGTGGGATGTGGTTAAATACCTGAAATGCTTGTTGCCGAGTTAATTGGCATTGAACATTTTTTCCTGCCCAAGTATTCAGTTGAAAGCTAGCAACTTGTATTTTCAAGTTTTATTTATCTATGGCTGATTTATGAAAGAAATAGTGATTTATTATTATGGTTCTTTTTTTCCTTGTCTACAGCAATTGGCTTTAGAAAAACTACAGCAAGCACCACCTACTGAAGGATTACCAAATCAGTCTGTAAGTAACCAACTTTACTGTATGAGTTATTAAAACTGCTTTGGTTATAAACTAAACTACTGCTATCAATTATTGCATTATTGTATATAGTAAGGTAGTATTTTAATACAGGTATGTATGTAGATACATATAGAGGATATTATCTAAACATTGATAACTAAATTAATGAAATGGTGTATACTATCCTAAAACCAGCATCAATGGCCAAAAATGAAACATATCCCAGTTACGTACCAGGACCTAGAAGATCATAGTAATCATGATAAATTTGAGAGTAAAAACATATTTCTCACAACTTTAAAGAATGATTATAATCTTGTGTTGCTACTTAAAATTGTATTTTCCATATGCTCAAGAATTGGAAGAAAAAACATATTTTGTTTAAATTATTGATTTTTACAGATTACTTCAGATGAAAATGTTGGATCTAACTCATTTATACAACAATATTTGAAACAACAACAGGAGTTATTAAATCAGAGGGGTGCCTTGCATGATGGTAAGACACACTTTTAGTTTAGATCAAACATAGATAACAAGTTTGTATTGTATGGCTACATGTTATTTTAAGTTTAGAGAACACTTTGACATAAAGCAATAAACTACTAATACTGTTTTATATAAATAATGATACATTTTGTAGTTCGATAAACTGTCTCATCAACATGAGCTTATCTCAACATATTATTATTAAGTTGATTTAAAAATGAGAATGGTTGTAAGACTGAATATTAAAGATTCATGTACTGTATTGGTATGTCCATAATAAAATACAAATAATATATAAAATGGAAATCGTTTGTTTGGACAAACACATTGCCAAGTACTGTTTGATTAAAACACATAAAATAATTTAAAAAAGAAATAGATATTTATATTGATAAGAAATGTTTATCTACTATATTTTCAGCTTCTGAACTTAAACATAAAGGTGAATCTGAGGTTCCTTCTGCCTTGACGGATGAAGTAGAAGAACTCAATAAATCATTGAGTAGAAGTGCTTCTGAAGAAGGCCAGAACACAGAAACAGATTCTCCAAAACCAGTTGCAGAGGAAGTAGATATGAATGTCAACAACGAAGTCCAAGAGAGAAGAGAAACAGATAAGAAGGAGCCTATGAAAGATGAAGGCAAGGAAGTTGAAGAAGAACATCAAGCACCTGTTGCAGAACCTCAGACTACAGTTCTACAACAGATCAACCCAGTTATAGGACAGGAATACCCCATTGTAGTACTGAAACCTCTAGTTGTTGAACAGAAAGCCACAGTTGAAGAACAGAAAGATGATGCTACTCCCAGACGTCGGCGTCTTGATCGAGGATTTAGTTCTCGAGATTCTGCAGAGAAAAAAGAGACAGAGAGGACACGGCGAAAGTCAAGTCGTGATAGAAGATCCCAGGACCTAGAAGATCATGATAAAAAGCAAAGGTCATCAGTAGAGACGGCACACGATGAAGAGAATGTAGATGCTGCAAAAGAAGTCCCAGAAACACAAGAAAGGATGGGTAAAGATATTGAGCAAGCAATTCAACTACAAGAACCCGAGGTTGCTACTAAAGATGAAGAGGTGACAAAGGTTTCAGATCAAGTTAAGGAAAAGGAAAACAAGTCAGAAATTAAGGAGGACATGGGTGAAAAGGATCTGAATAAAAAGGACCTGGATGAAAAGAAACCAGACAAAACTGAACAATCCTCAGTACATTCTTCTGAGCAGGAAGTGGTGCCAAAGGAAGACAAAGAACAAAAGGTAGGACAACAATCAGAGATGGAAGAAGCAAGTCAAGAGAAAAAAGCCTTACGCAAGCCATTTAAAAAGAATAATACCAGTAGTTCAAGTAGCCAGTCCTCTGAAGTTCCTTCTGAGCAGAAAGAATTACCAAAGGAAGATAAAGAACAAAAGGTAGGACAAGAATCAGAGATGGAAGAAGCAAGTCAAGAGAAAAAAGCCTTGCGCAAGCCATTTAAAAAGAATAGTACCAGTAGCTCAAGTAGCCAGTCCTCTGAAGTTCCTTCTGAGCAGAAAGAATTACCAAAGGAAGATAAAGAACAAAAGGTAGGGCAAGAATCAGAGATAGAAGAAGCAAGTCAAGAGAAAAAAGCCTTGCGCAAACCATTTAAAAAGAATAATATCAGTAGCTCAAGTAGCCAGTCCTCTGAAGTTCCTTTTGAGCAGAAAGTATTACCAAAGGAAGAAAAAGAACAAAAGGTAGAACAAGAATCAGAGAAGGAAGAAGCAAGTCAAAAAAAGAAAGAATTACGTAAACCATTAAAAAAAAATATTAGCAGTAACTCAAGTAGCCAGTCCTCATCATCCTCCTCGTCGCCCTCTTCGTCATCATCATCATCATCAACCTCATCTTCATCAGATGGATCTAGAGCCAGTTCACCAACTCCAAAGAAATGGAATGATCAGGCTGAAGAAGTTGACCAAACTAAGGTATACATACTGAGTTTTTGTGTGTGTGTAAAATGAATTACAGTATATAATATATTATGGCTCTGCCATTTCTAGACAAATATTTTTCTGATTTGAGTGGTCGGGCACTTAAATGTATTGGCAATGGAGCTTTGGGTTGCAAAAAACATTGCTGATTAAACAAAATGCTTTAAATGGGATTAATTAAAGTACACTTACTTACTGGTTTCTAAAACTTGAAATTTATAAAATAACAATTTTCTGATTGTACGCATTCAAAGAAGTTTAATGACATTAATTCAAAAAGCTATATTTTACAAATTATCATTAGAATGTTAAGCAGCTACTTGAGGTTAGGTTGTCAAGTTCACCACAGCTAAAAATATAGTCTGTTTTTAATTCCTCACCAGAATGAAATAAAACATTAGACTTTTCTGATGTACTATATTGAATGGGTGACTACTAGTTTGTATCCATTGTTTGAATGATTGCTGAAGTGATAGCTAGCTAAGCTGAACTGTACTTCCTGGGGGTAACCTTCCTCAAGCTTTAAACTATTGTACTTCTCCTTTGTTTATAGATAATTTTTAATATGTATTTCTTATAATTTATATTCAGTTCTGTTAGAATTAGATCATTATAGAATTTTCTTGTTAAAGCAATATAATATAGTTGATCAATTTTTCCTACCTGTTTAGTACATATTTAATCATCAATAATGAATACAAATATAAATGTACATTATTATTATTATTAATATTTAACGCTCAGTTTTGAATATATACTTGCGACTAATTTAATGGTAACCATTATTCCACAGAAAATCTTGGAGGAAACCAAAGAAAAATTGGTTGGAAAAAAAGAGAAGGAAGAATCAGTTGCCAAGGAACAGAAGATGGAAAATGCAAAAGAAGTTGATGAGAAGGATAAACCAAAAATAGAGGGGTAAGTTGTAATTAGACTTCTAAAGAACGAAGAGCGAAGGGGAGAAGAAAGGTACACACCCCAAATTTTGAGATTGCCATCACTACCATGTACACACAGGTTCTTTGGTGTCGGAACGCTCAGGGCTTGGTAGCTTCCACCGAAGATAAGCCTGTGGCTCTACCGCCATGCATGGCTAAATGTGCGGTTCGCCACATCAAGTAAGGAGGTGCGAATTGTCAGAGCGACAAAACTTAACTACTGAAAATATATGTAGTTTGAATTAACTTAACATTGGTTAAAAGGGAGTGATGTATTTACAAACAGGACTGTGCTCTCTTTGCTTTACTCCTGCTAGTACAGTACCTAATTAGTAGGATACCCCATCTGTCATTGTCTCACACAATCCTGACAATAATGTTATATATAAAATTGTGTTTATATTCAAATTCTTTGTTTTATTTGGCATTCACTGATGCCTGGTGTACAGGAGCACTTTCACCTCAGTGCATTAAAGCAAGCCACCAAATCAGTTGACACTTTAAACATCTTGGTAGCAAGTTTTTGTAGTTCAGTACTACTTTTAAGCATAGGAGGTTTTTAAATGAATGTACTTTCCCAATATGGCACTGTTCTAGGTTTGTGATATTTGTAACAATCTGGAAAATAAATAAATGAAAATGAAATGAAATGTGAATAAAATGTGACTAAGATGAATAATGTTCAATACGTTTAAACGAACAAGAATCAAAACCTAAGCAATGGACAAACTCAAACACTGTAAACTGTATTTTTGTATTGTAGAAAACAAATTTGTGATATTTGTAACCAGTTCATTGTGAAGTTGCACTTGTTGACTAAATATTGCTTGTTCTCTTGGAATTTCCAAGCCCAAAAGTGGGTGTCTTTAAGACCAAAATCAGCGAGTGGATACTAAAATGAGAATAGCCTGCTGTCTGATAATTGGTTGCTTAAAAAAGGTAACCAAAGTGTATGCTAGTTTGTTAGCAGGCATGCCTTAGCCTATAGAAAACACTCTTTCAACTGGACTATTTTGTAGGGTTTATGCTTTTAATTTTTTCCTCCTTTGTTTATGGTTTTTGTGTATTCACGTTTTTTAAAATTATCTATTAAAACTGGTAGGCTTGGTTTTAAGGAAGTACTGATTCTGAGCAGAGGAATAATTGACTTTAAAAATAATTATCAAATCTCAATAAATTGTTTAACTTGGATTTCATTGAAGAGTAGAAGATGTAGATGTGGTTTTCGCAGCAGTAGTGATTTTCGATCTCGTCCTGTGGTCTGTACTTACAACCTTCGTTGTGAATTTTGCTGTCCAGGCAAGGCACTTACCAGATAATTTATCATAAAATGGCCTTTTTGTTATTTTTCGCTGTGGAAACAGGGCCCAAATTTTCTGATAAATTTTTGTATGAGGATCAGACTATTTATCGGAAAAAGCTCCAAATGTGGAAAAATAAATAACCTTTGACCGTTGTCAAATCAAAACTTACAAAGAATTATTATTGGTACAGTGAGTTTCTAAGGAAACTAGGCCTAGTAGTTAGTAGGCCTATATAAGCCTAGGTTAAATAAAAGTGAGTAAATTTTTCGTGTTTATTAAATATTTAAAAAAGCCTGAAAGTCTGCGTTCGATGTCAATGGTGCCAGGCTGCTGGGCTTAGGTCCATCACTACCTATTGTTTATTGTATCGTAAGCACACAAAACATAGCTAGCATTCTTTTTCGTCATCCTCTCATTCCCATAGAAGTACAATGATACATCATTGCAACAGTACATTTTCAGAGCGAAATAGTACCGTACGATTTCGTTCTTGGCCTAGGCCTATCCATCCCGTGCAAAAAAAGGGACACCTGCTAGGTCCAACAAAACGGATATTTTTGGTGTTACACACATTGCATTATTGTCCATAATGTTGCATGATGGGATAAAATATTTGGAGGGAATTTTAAGATAATTTATCGGAGAAATTATCAGAGAAATTGTAAGTGCTTTGGAAACAAGGCCTTAGTCACTCAGGAATACCATCTTTAGTCCATTTTTGCGCATCCAACCTCCCTCCCCCAGTATTCAGTATTAGTAATACCAAAATGATAAAAGTAATGGAATGTGTATATTTATGTATTTATTTTCCACATCCTCAGACAAACAAACAAACAAACATTAACAGTAAATGTTAAAAGAATAATAACTTAATTTATACAGTTTCCAATTAGAGACATAGATCAACAAAAAAGTTTTTCCTGATTTACAACAGGTATTGTTTGATACGTTGATAACAACAAGTCAGTTTAAGGGTCCTTACAAAAGGGTTTAGAAATGGGTTTATTTGCATCTTAAGTTGTTGAAGAATTTTTTCCTAATTTTTTTTTATTGAAAACTATGCTTAAAGACATGTCACCATCTGTTGGGGAAATCTTAAAAGAAATACACAGATTAAAAAACAATTGTGATGACTATTATGATTTAAATGATTATTTAATGATTTACAAATTCTTTGGACACAAATTTTATTCCCAGCAGCCAATTAAAGAGTTATGCAAAGAAAAACAATATTGTTATACACAATTGACAAGAATTTCATTTCATTCAAAAAGAATCTCATTCAATTTCAATAATATATTTATAAAAGGAACCATTTACTGTAGATATTGAATTTTATTTAAAAATATATATATAAACTTGTAAATTAATCAGTTTAGATTTGGATTTTTTTCATTTTTTTAGCTCAGCATATGGTATAATATCTCTTTTAAAGCCAAATTACTATTTGTAATATATCATAATCAAAAAGTACCCTTGACTATGTGAAAAAATGACATTTTACAGCCTTTGTTTCTAGAGCATAAATCAGCCACCACATGTCTCTAATTTTGCTGCATTCAACATTTGTCCACCACAAGCAGTTATACGTCATCTGACTGCATTAGTTATGCGCTTACATGACCTCTCCTGCGAACCATGCTTCCTCTTGTGGTGAATTAATCACAGCAAAGGATCCAATGATGAGGCATATCACAAAGAAGATTTGAGGAAGTTACATAGAGAATTGTGGCTGGTGTAGTGGTGAATAGGTTAGGAAAAGGTTTGTTGAATACTAACCGACGTATTCCCTCATTATGTATTCATTCATAATGCTGTCCAAGTCGCGTTGAAGTACAGCACGTTGTGTTGGTATATGGTATATGTTACGATGCATCAATTTCTGCAAAGGTTTATCACAGTCTATTGTTTTTGCCTATCCTAAAATGCCGTCTACCATGAATATGTGAGTGATTTTTTGCATTGATCTCATTCACCATTATAATTATAATAATAATATTTCAGGATTTTACAGGTATTTGAGTTATTAATCTATGTTGTGTCATTGCTGATATTAATATGCTACACATTATTATATTCATCATGATTTCTTGTTCATTGCCACTGCTAAGATGAGGTTACAGTACTGTAGTACAAGTTAAGGATGTCATTATTTTTTTCAGGAACAATTAATTTTATTTTGTATTTAGGATTATTACATGTAATAATAATATAATAATTCTATTTACAAAATGAATTACTAACCTAATATTAAACTAATTTAATTAATTTTTTAATTTTTTTTATTGTAAGAAATTGTTTTATATTTGCAGCAGTGGAGAGAGCAAAGTGGAAGCAGATAAAGAAGTTCCTATGGAGACAGATGAACCAGAAAAAACTCCGGATCCGAGTGAGGTGGCATCGTCCAAGTCTAAGGTAGAAGAAGGGCAAATCAAAGATGACGTGGAAGAACAACAATCGCAGGAAGCCGAACAACCCAAGGAGGATGAAAAGCCAACTAAGGTAATATTTATATTGATTCTTTAATATAATTTTCCTCTTCACAACTTAATATTAATTAAAGAAACATTAAATATTTATTTGAATATTGTAATTCTAATTATTACAATTAATACAAATAATGATATCATTCCTTTAATATTTAGAAGTTAATCTTTCACATATTTTGTTGTAAAATTCAAATATTCATGATGTAAGCATAAAGAAAAAGCACTCAGCAATTAGATGGAATAAAAAGCCAGATGATGATTATGTTTTTCACTTGTGCTTAAATAGAATGCTAAATATAATCCCTGTGGCCATTTGTGTACATGCATTTTAGCTGAAATGACCGCAAATCCCTGAACATAGTTTGCTTCCATATTTATTCATAGAATACATCATTTTTGTGCTATAAATTGGAATAATTTTTCTAAATTAATCTAAGATGAAATTATTGTCTTTGCATGCATCTTCAACGATTTATACATTTTTATTTTCTCATCTTAATATTATTTTTAGATTCCCTTTTTAGTTTAATTTACCTGGTGATAGTTATTTTTTTTTTTTTAAGACAGAATTATTTTTGGAATTAATTTTTGGAAGTTATTTAAATTTAGGTAACCATAACATGTATTATTATCACATACATGTTGTCTTCAAAAATTGTATGTAATGTATTTTTTACTATTCATGCAAGCCAAATATGCTGTGAAAAGTGAAAGTGACATGTGAGATGTGTGGTCAATGTATGGTAGACGTCAATTAGCACCATCTTGGATATCAATAAACCACTTAATGTTTTTTTGGTTTAACTCAATTTTTGAAATTTAAAATTATTTTTTTTGGACACTTTAAAAAATTCCAAATTATAGTATATATATATTGAATTATAAAAAATATTAATTCCATGAATAAATTAATTAAATACTGTATTTTTTTTATCATCAAACTTCACTTAATAATATCTTATGAAATGACTGCAAGTATTTTGCATTGTGTGTGTTCTTCCTATTACATGAACTGTTTGTGTAGCCAAGGTGGGTTGAGCTTACTTGGCGTGGTTCTGGTTGACTGGAGTGATGAGGGAATCCTGACATGCCCTGACGATTCATACCTTTACCCCTCCCAGGGCCTATATACTTTGGAGATTTCAATTACTCTATTGAGTAGTTGCTGTAGACAGAGGATCCAGTAAAACAGAACAGTAGCAGCTCATGGAATGAGATTAAAATTAGAGAGAACTTTGATGAAATATTTATGCAGCGATCCATCATCTACTAGAATAATGTAGAGCTGATACTGAGAAATACACATTTATCATCATGATAAACATCAGAATTTGTCATCAAATGGATTGTATGTGCACATACCTTGAAATGTACACATGAAGATTCAGAGAATCATAAATTATTTTAACTGAACAATATTCCATGGATTTTTTTGTTAATTTTCAAGAAATACCAGTAGAAACATGCAAGACGATGAATATATAAATGCGTAAATACTCGAAATTTTGTCAGCTAAAACCAAGAACATGACAGTGAACTCTAGTAATTGCAAGTTGTTCGTATGACATTCTATCAGACATTTCTAATCATCATGATTAAAAGCATTTGAGCATATTATTTATTATATTTGAGAGTGATTTGCACAGAATCAAGGACAAATATGGCCAGTTTAAACCATCTTCAAAAAAACATTTCTAAAATGCAGGACCTGAGCAACGACCATCAAAATATTACAGTATTTAATTTTAAAATATCCATTATGCAGTTAACAGTTAGCCATCATCTTTGATTTAAGAACACTTTCAAAGCTGCAGAATGTGATGTCATCTACAAGTAAGAAGATTTGAGTATTTGTTACGTGACTGAACAAAAACATGTTTTTCATTTTGTATAATTAATTTATCATATCAACTCAAGGACTTGATATGGCATGGGCTAGCTTCAAATATATCCCGCCTGTTATAGTCGTCAATAATTTATGTTTCTCTCAGAGATGTATTGTATCTATCAGAGGAAGAGAATATCAACAACAAATTAAAAATGAACAATTTTACCAGCCTACAGGAAGATCCAGTGTGCAAGTAATACAGTATCATGATTAATGCAGAGGACTTCATCTTCTTAAATTTGCAATACTGCAACAGACATCTTGGAAAGAAGTGTATAGAACATTGAATTTCCAGTGTAGCAGTGCATAAGTATATCTACTGAGTTTGGAATGCACACCACCCATCAGGACTAATCCCTTTTATTCTGAACGATCTAAAAAAAATTCCGAGAGGAGTGACCAACCGGACCAGTACCACTTTCCCTCATTTTTTCCGTCGGGCTCAACCAGGCTCAAGTATTCTCGGGGGACACCCATCCAATCAGCTGTCGACCAGCCAACATGGAATTTCGAGACCACTGTAGGAAGCGTCAAATTACAGCATCTATATCATAACTAATCATTTCTAACATAGTCATTAGAGGTTCTTTAGCACAAAATCACAATTTGATTATTTTTGTTCTGAAATCAACATTAAGACAAATTCAAAAAAATTGCATTTAATCTTGTATATTGTGTATTGAGTTGTTCTGCATTGTGTTAATGACCCTCTTTTGACAATACCTTTTTAATAATTGTTATCTTTATTGTGTGTTTTTTTTTGTATATAACCATAATATACTGACATCACATTCAGATTAATTATGTTCTGTAGGAAGTCCTAAAACCAACATAGGTTTAAACCTAAAATATGACTTCCTAAAAGTGATTATTTTTAATAAAGTGTTAAGGATAATCACTCCATTCCATTCAAAATTATGTTAACATTTTGTTTGCTCCGCTCATTTTTATACCTTGTTTTTACTTAACATGTTTATGGAATTACTGATTTTTTGTTTTTATGGAAAATGATTAACATGAAGTCTACAATTTGATGGCAAGCATTTCCCTAGTTTAGCCAGGTTTCCGTACATTTTTGGCTGAAATTGAATTCTAAATTTGCTGTATACTACCTCAATTGCTTCCTATGCTGAATATGAATACCATTTATCTTTTTTTTAATCATTAGATGATAAAGTAATTCATTTGACTTGAAGGAAAATCACTAACTCTTGCCAAGAGGCAAAAGCCCAAGCTTACATTGATTCAGAACTTCCTTGATTATAATTTATAGTAAATGCACAGGAGAAAAGCAAATAGCTACCGTCAGTGAATTGGTATCTGAATAACAAGCACTAAATTATTTGCAATCCTTAGCCATGATGATCAGTTTTCATTGGTTTTTTTTTGTTGTTAAATGATGAATTTGTTGTTGGCTTTTCACATTAATGTTCCCTGTTGAATTATTTAAATTGGGTCTCATTAAATCAGCATGCTTTTAAAAAGTTTTAGTAGTTGCCAGATATTTAAATATTCAGTTTCAATGAGTCGATGTCAGTAAATTTTGGTGTGCAAATTTTATAGCGATGATATAATGCTATAAGTGTTTAATAACATTGTTTTTCTACATATTTTTTTTATTTCTGTGTACGTGTCATAGGTTCTTAAGGTAATCAAGAAGGAAGTAAAGGAATATAAACCAATTAAAACGAAACGTATTTCATTACACGGTAAGCTGACTTGCATATCTGGTAACCGCTAGTACTGTAGAATTGCATTCCCCCACCCATGGACTGTATTTTTTTTATTTGCTTAACAACTGATAATTTTAATTTTTAATTTTACATAATTTCGAATCTTGCATTATCATCTGTATGCATAGGCCTATTGTACAGTTAGAGAAATAATAACATGTTCACTGCCAGGGACGCGCGTTCACGTAACATGGTTTACTCAGGACGCCAGTATTGCACATAAACTTGCTAGTGGTGGTTGCCAGAACGTGAATGCTTGTCCTGGAGGTTCAGGGAAGACCCCAGAAGTAATGATCTAAAAATAAATACCATTTGTTCGTGTTTCGTTACAGTTGATGAGAATGATATTTTCATTACGGTGGTGCCTTTTATGCCAGAGCGTATGGAATGAAACAAGGGAAAAGGGCTTGGTAGTCAACGTGTTAATTAATCATAATAATAGACAGTGATGTAAAAAGTCGTCACATGCGCCCATAGGTTAAAATTTTTGGCCCATAATCATCTTAGTAGATTGCAGGGTGTGTAGTGTAGTACCCCTATTATTCACTGTTCTAATACTGTAGTTTGCATGATGTGGTCAGTAAGCTAGAGTATTGATGAAGCTACTAGAAAAATCAATTACCTGAATATCATTAGGTTGATTGCTTTGGAAAGGGCCCAGTATTATGTCTTATTTGTCTTATTGCATATTTTTATTGTACCACTGTAGATGCTACAGTGAGCATAGTTCTGTTCATTCATTTGAAGAATGTTCAGAACGAGTTTAAAAATCAGGCCACTAAACACTATTTCTCAGTTTTCCCTCGGTAAACACTCAAGCCTGCACTTTATGCCTTTTCATTTTTTATTTTCTAAATAAATATAACAATTCACATTATTTTGTAAATAATCAGTTAATAATAGAGTATTTATGGAGTAGTCTTTAATGAAAAACGTAAGAAGAGTAATAATAGTTAACCCTAGTAATCTTTCATCTTAATATTTTATTTATAGCATCTAAAAGCAAGGAAGATGCTAAAGAAGTTGGAGAGACAGCAGTTGGTCCTAGGAAACGAAGATGGGGATCGACCCGTAGCAAGACAGATACTCCATCTAAAACTAGCGTTAATATTAGCACTGATATGTTGAAAGTAAGATTATAGTATATTTTTTAACTACTGTAGTAGTTTTTTAATTATGAATCGGCTTCTTCTAGAGCAAAATGCGCTGGAAACTTTTTGTGCAAATAGTTTATTACTTTATAATGAAATATATACTCTGGAGGGTCTCTAGTATGCCCCCTCCCCCTTCTTTGAATATGCAAATAGGCTGATTATGTGGAGGGGGTGGGTGGACCTTCTCTATACCTGTGGAATCCTCTGCTCATGAAAAAAAAATGTAATAGATAATCAAAAGGCAAATTTTCAACCGTCCATGCCCGATTCTCTTATTATTTTTCTTCCTGAAAGTCAGTTTAGGAATAACAAAATCGTAGCCTGGGCTTTTTCCAGGGGAATTGCTGGTACATGAAATTGAATGTAAAATAGGTGGTGGGGCTTATAGTGAGTTGTTCTTGTACCCGAAGAACTATGGTATATTAAAAAGTAAACTGCCTTTATCCATATCAACAACTGAAAAAAACTATCTCTTTTCACATACATTCATTTCTCACAAACTGTGGTTTAAGACTTTGAAGTAGTTTAATGTTTTTTTTTTCACCTTAACGTCGCAACTCCCTTACTTGAGCTGGCGTCACCATCTTAACAGCGCATGGTAGTACTGTAGAGCCAAGGCTTATCCAAGGTGGAAGCTACTGCAGCCAAGCAAACTGTCGCCGGCGTACCTGCGCGTACACGGTTGTGGTGGCGGCGCCGTCTGAACATTGGGAGTGCGCATTTCCCTTCCCTTTTGTGTTTGCAGTTTTGTTTTGTTTTTTATTTTGTTTTTTTTTCCTATCAGACTTCGGGTCTGTATACTGTCAGCGCCTTGAGATGATTTTATTGTGGAAGGCACTCTACAAATATCCTACCATTTACCATTTACATTACCATAATATAATGTAATTAAATTTATTCTGATAGGAAATTATGCCAGAGATTGTAACAACTCCAGAGAGTATAGCAATCGACATCTATGAAGAACAAGATGATTTAGATATTGAAAAAACGGCTCAGCAACCAGAGGAAACACCAGCCAAGTTAAGGAGGGTCATAACACAAGATGTTACCAAGGATAACGAGGATGAAATGACAGATGAGAATAAAGCAGAAAAGGCAAAAGAAAAGCAGAATGCAAGGCAACCAAAGACAAAGAAAGAGGAAGCTGACGAGGATGAAGAAGATTCAAGTGATTCAGATGATGACAGTGATAGTTCAGATGATGATGATGATGATGAAGAAGAAGAAAGTGATGATGAGAATAAGGATGGAAAAAAGGAAAAGAAATCTGATTCAGAAAAGGAAGATAGTACCAAAGTAAAAGTAAAACCAGAAACAAAAGAGAATGGTATGTGTTACATATGATTTGCTTTTATTTTTAATCATGTTTTTTTCCTGTTAATTGTATATGAAATCAATCATACAAAAGCATGCAACCGCTTCAGCTGGCTGAGAGAGTGCTGCTTGTTACTTCCACTAAGGAAGTTATGTCTTCACCCCTGTCTTGAGAATTTGAATTTAGAAAGAAAAGGTCAAAGCATTAAATAAAACAATGGAATCATCCATATTTGCATATTGTTGTAGGCACGGGGCAGAGTTATGCATTCTATTGCATGTAATTTAGCTCTACTAATACAGTATTATTTCTAAATCTTTGGTATTCAATCAAGGGCCTTATAGTACATTCCAATTAAGGTTAAGAGCTTATGTAGGATAATCAAGCAAAGCAAAAGAAATGAACCAGTTGGGATGTGTAATACATTATTTCTCTTGTTGCAAATTAATATTACCAAATTTTCATTTCAGAACCTCCTTCAAAACCCACTATCCGACCTCCAGTCCGAGTATCTATAGATGAACCTATTACAGTCAACAGCAAACAGACGCCCTCTCGTAGGCCTCGTAGTGAGATCATCCACATTCGTAACTTAGTGCGACCATACACCATCAACCAGCTGAAGGAGCTCTTGCAGAGGACTGGAAAATTAGTAGAGAATGGCTTCTGGATTGATAACATTAAATCACATTGTTTTGCTACTGTAAGTGTCTTATAAAAGCTAGAATGTCAGAACTTCAGAGGGCCCTTTGCGACCGCCTACTCAAACTTGCTTTTTATTTTCCAAATTCAACTCCTTCCCCCCTCACCTTCTAGCACGAATCAACGCCCTTGATGTGGCAGATACATTTCCACTGATTCGCATTAAAAGAAATATGTGGTATTATTCTAATTATTATTTCCTGGGTCCTGGGTCAATGTTTCTGAAGTGCTTAAGATATTATCCTCAACTGTTAACAACTCTGTTCAATTCTGACAATTCTGTTCAACTGATGATGTGTGCAGTGACTATCCCGACATGTTTCTAGGGTGTTCAACAATGAATAAGTTTTTCATGAAAATTCCATACTTATTTTGAATGCACTATTCCAATCACTTTTCTTAAAAATTTTCTAATTCCAGTATATATATGTTTTCTCTTTATTTTTTTCATATTTATTATACAGACTTCGTCGTCAGGGAGTGATGTTTGTAACTAATCTCATTTTTGTCTTTTCACTATAGTATGGCAGTAAAGACGAGGCTGAGGCTGCACGTGAGGCCCTGCATGGTAAGAAGTGGCCAAGCAGTAATCCAAAAGTCTTGCATGTGGAGTATGCTGCAGAGAATGAGGTACATTATCAATGTTAGGTCTTATATGTCAGTCACGACATCATCATTTTCATTTGCACGTAATTTTCCTATCCTCAGTCGGGCACTAATTTGATGTAGTTCTTTGTTGTTGTATTTGTTGTGCTTCGTGTGTAAAAACCTCAAAGCTGGGGTTTTACATTGCGATGAATATTTTGTTGTTAGGCCAAGCTCTGAACACGCACAGCCAACCTAACAAATCTCGCTTTACAGCGCTGGTTACCACAAGTGAAGGCAAGGCCTAGAAAGGCATATTGCTATGAGATACCAAGGTGATTGACTTCATAAATAGAACTGAAAAGAGAAGGCAACGCTGAATTAATTCATAATAATGTTTGCAATACATTTTAATTTATTTAACAAACATTTTCGAAAAGGTTAGGTCTACCTAATAACACTCAATAAGCTTCATCAACCACAATCAATTAATTATCTTCATCCTATTGCAAAGAGCTGCGAAAAGTGTCAGTGCATGTATTACTAGCAAATCATTCTTCCTACGTGCAGATAGTGCACATACGCAGTTAACATATTTGCTCACTGAGCAACTGGTCACTGCAACCAGCAGTTTGATTTTAAATTAGCCTATATATTTAAACAAAGTGTGGCTGACTTATAAGGCAATATTAAGTTATTTTGGAACCTATAGGAAGTAGAAATTTTAGGAGCCATTAATTCAATCAAAACATTGCCTTCAGCCATGTGGGCCTCAGGACATTTTTTTCGGCCTTTATTTTCTATATGGTCTTCAGAACTTCACTATAATTGCATAATAGGCTGTGATGCTATCTTAATTAACCTGTTAAAGAGGCCAATACATGAATTTTGATACACATGTATAAGGGTAATCTAATTTCTAATAGAATGAACACCTCATAAATAGGTCATTACATCCTTATTACATGATAATCGATATAACACTACACATGAAGTTAAATGAAGTTAATTGATCATTCTTAATTTGTGTTATTTTTTCCCATCTTAGTTACTGAGAAGCAAAGGAGTACAAATTACCAAACCTCTTGAAAGGGATGTCAAACAAGAAACCGAGAAAAGAGATGCAAGACAGCAACGCGAGAAAGAGAGACAAGAAAGACTGAAAGAGAGGGAAAGTAGGGATAGAAAGAGAGATATCTCAACGAGGGATGGCAGACAGGAAGAACGTCCGAGAAGAAGTACATCACGTGATCGAAGAAGGCGGGAACGATCAGTAGAAAGAAGTGTTAAACATAAAGGTATGTTTGTGTCAAAAGTTATACTGACTTTATAAATATTTTGGTAGTATATATGGCCATTATGTTTGAAGAACACTACTGCTAAAATTTCTTAAATAATTTTTTTTTTTCATATTCAGTAAAATCACCAGAACCAGAAGAACCACCTGCGAAGCTTCTGGATGATCTTTTCCGCAAAACTAAAGCAACACCTTGTATTTATTGGTTACCATTAACACCTGAACAGGTCAGTTAATCTTTTATAGTTAAATTTGATTGACTGGAATTTTTTGTTACAAAAGGATACAAACACACGTCCCATCAGGCAATAATGTTATATTCAATTTAGATTCAATTCAGATTGTTTCACTATTCTTGATTCTGCATACAATAATTATCATCTTAAAAGGAAAGAAGTCCCTTACATTGCTTGGGGAAATCCATCACTGGACAAACAACTCATTACAATATCACTCTTTCATTCTAATTCTTATATACAAGACTTGCTACAGTATTCATCTTTATATACATGACTTACCTTAGTATTTGTCATAAATCCAACTGGTAGTATGGTAGTAGCATAAACACTACTGCCTGATGATGATGTGCGACACATCAAAATATGTTGCTAATTAGTATCATATTAGATTTGTAATACTAGTAATAGAATTATCTTAAAATATTTATATGTTACTTAATCTTATACCCAATTCACACGTACACATGTAACAAGTTGTTAAAAGTTTTAGCCAGGATAGCTGCGTGTGAATGCCACAATCTCTGTAAAGTCCCTTGTGAAATCTCGTAACAACTTGTAATCTTTACCGGCCTCGAACTGGCCTGTAAAGATTACGATTTGTTACAACGCATGCTCAATTGATTTAGGTCAAGACAGAGAAGCTAAACGGTGGTGGTCTCGACACGATCGATAAATATGACGTTGATCTTGTTACTTAATAACAAGAAAAAATGCACCCGATTTCTATATGGACCACAAAAATTTATTATCTGAACTGCTTGTCGCATGTAGAGCAACGCCCAGCCCACAAATTTCACGTCGGCAATTGCCGACCATATTGCTGAACCAGAATTGCTACAGGACGGCAACTTTTTGCCGACCTAGGCCTAGATTTCTTTGCTTCAAAAACTGCTTGGAAAGTCAAAAACTTTTACTAAAACAGGCTATAGCAGACACTAAATTTCATGTACGTCGTCAAACCAAGGAAATTGGTGGTTCATAAAACAGATTTTTTTGTACAATAACTATTTCTAATAGGCATGCAGTAAGTACGATTTGTGTACAATCGTCGTCTTTCAATCTCGCCTAGTCATTTCGTAGGCTATTCCTAGGAATGACGCTAGCCAGCCAAGGCCTACAACATCGCCCAATTGAAGCCACGTGGGACGCGTAGATCGTAATCCTTATCTAAATCTAATTATTTGTCTTCATTTTACAATATTATTATCATATTTAAAATGTTGTTTATTATCTAAAAACAACAAAATTCAACATATTGTAGGCCTAATCCTACCGTCCGTTTCAACGCAATCACGATTGCATCGTGACTTCACTACTGACAACTACTGTACATGTGTGGAAAATCCCTGATAGATCATTCTGGGCATGCGCATGGACATGCATGGGCAGTTTTGAAGCAGCCTGTGATGCTGTGATGATACGGTCATGGCTTTTACGAAAGTTCCCATGCCAAAGATGACGATAAAACGAACGCTAAAACGAAATTTATTCAGCGATTTTCTTATGTAAAACATAATATTATACTACACTATTAAATTAATACAAGTACGACCATTCTTTCACCAGCGATATATTGATTTAAGATGACGATGTAAGGTCGAGCGTTCGGAAAAATCGTAGTTTAAACTATATAGGCCTAGGTAGTAAAAAATGCCGAGGCTGCCGACCTTGGAGAATTTAAGGTTGGCAAATTTTTGCCGACCTAATTTTTTCCTAATTTCATGGGCTGAACGCTGGTAAATTTTCATGAATCAGGCTAGCTAGGTAGGCTAGGCTTGGCCTAGGCCACGCATAGATACCCTAGACTAGGCCTGCGCCTAGGGACGGGACGGGTTCTCGGCTGCCGAAGATGGCCAAGCAAGGTGGCGATAGAATCGGGCATACGCTAGCCTCCTAGCTCATCTTTTCCTAAAAGCACCTAGGGACTAGCGCTGTTTGGGATCTGTTTGTGCTAGGCCTAGGATCCCTGTATGTATAAACGATTTTATAAATATACTCAGGCCTCAACTTTCGATTAAAATAGTTCGCGATATTTCTTCCGGTATATTACATGGTTCAAGAATGTACGTGGGAAATTGCGTGTGTTAATAAATTGTTTTTAAAACTTGTTAAATTTAGTGTACGTGTGAATTGGGTATTAAATAATGTGAAAGTGGTGGGAGCAGTTGGCACAGAGGTTGCATTTTGGTCCTCAACTTCGAGGTCAGGGGTTCAAACCTTTGCTGTGCATTTTGGTTTTTGCCTACGTTTGTGTCTTCCCACCTAGGGTGTAAATGGGTACCCGCTACTGGGGAGGGAAAAGGTGGCGTGGAAACAAACTGGCCACCCTACCGCACAATACTGAGGCTTAGTACGATGGGCTAACATCTCATTCCCCTACGTTCAATAATGAATACAGGACTTATTTTTACCTTTAATGTTAAAGTGTGGATTGTGCAAGGGGTTTTTACTCGCGATTAGAAAGAATTTAAAAAAAAAAACTTGTCGGCAGTGACAGCAATGCGATTCAATAAGACTTTGACAATGAGTCCAGCAACAGATCTGTTTCTGTAACATCTGCTCAGACTACAAAGTGCGGTTAGCAGATTTGTAATGCATTGACAGACCGGACAGACAGAGCATGGATTTAATGACAATAAGCTTGACACCCTTAATCTCTACATATACTACAAGATGAATTTATTAAGACCCAACATATGTTTTGTATTGTATTTTACCAGATGGAACTAAAAGAGAAAGAGAGAAATCAACGGAAACAAGAAAGAGAAGAAAGGCTGAAAAAGATGCAGGAAAAAGATGCAGAAGAGAGGAGACAGCAAGAATTACGAATAGAGAGAAGGAGGCGGGAACAGGAAAGAGAAAGAGAACACCGTCGCAGTTTAAATAGATCAGGGGGAAGTAGAAGGAGCAGGAGTCGTAGTAAAGGACGAAGACGTTAAACTTTATAAGGTGACCAGTAAGCAGCATTCTGGAATATGGATTGTCTATCTTGTAAATATTAGTAGTAAACATGTTGTGATGTTTGTGTCACCAGGGTTTTCCCTGCTTTTAACCTCATTTTAACAATTATTATTAGTCAGTAATTTGTTTTTATAATTTTCAGTGGGAAAATTGATGAGTTTTGTATGTAATTAGAGGGAATGTGATTAGAGGGCGATGAAATTATTCCTATATTATAATTGTTGTCTAGTTTAGTGTATGATTTCATTACATTAATCTGGACAGTTGGGTCACTGGAGGACACATTGTGGAGGTCAATAAATAATCAAATAATTCAAGAGGAAGTAAAGTGAAGGCATTGTTTTTATTAGTTTTTTTTTGGTATAGATTACACCAAAATTATATAAGGAAAATTTTAAAATGTCAATTTTTGCTAGATATCTTTTTAAAAATTCTAGTAAATGTGTTCCAGCATCCATTGATAATGTCGCAAAATTCTACATTAAAATTAATTCAATGGTAACAAAACTGTTAACAAATTTCATTACTCTCAGCAAGTTTCATTGTTGGTACACAACATTTTATAATTCATTTAAAATGATTAGGTACCAATACATGTAGTTCCTTGTCATAAAACATCTATTGGGAAATACGAGAGATTTGCTATGCTTTTGGATATATTTGGTAATTTTTATAGATAATTTTAAAAGTAAACAGTGGGGTTTGTTTTTTGAATAAAGTGATTTGAAATAGTACATAAATTTGAATCTTGTGCAGCTACTTTCATTATAGAGTATCTATTCATTCATTTTTATTTCAAACATATTTTAGCAGGTTACTGTAGTTTACTCTCACTGTCAAAGTGATAAAATTCAATAATTATAAACTAATAAGGGAGTTGTGCATGTGACTCTGAAATGTATTTATAACTTTCCTTTGTTTTCTCAGGAAAGGTTAAAGGTGCACTCTCCGCCAAAAAAAGAAAAAACAAAAACTAAAAAATTCCAAATAAACTTTGATTAGCTCATTTAAAAGGATCAATTAAGTTATTAATTTTTTTTAGCTCATGACAAGATTATATCTTTAACTTAAAGGCCCAGAAAATCCCTGTATCTGTGCCATCCACCAGAAATGGTCAGATTACTAGTCAAACAGCTTATTCCCTTCCCCAAAAAACATTCTAAAGCCCCACTTGCTAGTAATATACATTAAAAATAGTTTTAAAATGGATAAAAAAAAGTTTAAAATATACAAAGGTAGCAAATGATGATGTTGCTAAAAACCAGATGCATGGGTGTATAAAGGTAAAGGTAGAAGAATAACCCATAACTCACAGCGTCATTGTGCTGAATTACGGATGGGCGTGGTCTGTGACTACCTATAGTAACCGTAAAGAATTGCTTATAGTAGCTACATGTTCACATCATTGTACAACGACCTTACTCTTCCGAAAGATGCAATGGGTTCTTGAAAGTGCACACAAGTCAGATGTGTACACTGAACTTCCATTTTAAGTCCTTGGTTCTACCAACCGAAACCCTGGACAACAAGCGGCTGGAACCAGTGTCGATGTTGAGGCTGTAGTTAGCGACACTGCTGCCTTACTGCCCAGCCACACGCCTTGCCTCAGTATGTGTATGTACATACAATCAAATCAAGGAATATTTAAACAGTGACCACTTTTATGTATGAGCATGGGAGCTAAAGCGGGGAGCAAAAAAAAGGAAGGAGGCAGCATGGTACTGTATTTTACATATTTTTTTAATTCCATGTACCAGTATTTTTAAACAAAAATCTTAATCATCACCATGCTACCCCAGGTATTTCTCTGGCAATAGTATGTTACTAAATAATATAAATAATTGCTTAAATTGTTAGTGGATAAGTAAACAAATTAAGGTATTATATTATTTACTTTGATTGTTCATAATTACTTGCATAAACTGATTTCAAATAAAATAAAGATAAAACAAGATACAATTTCATTTCATTTATTCCTCTCAAAACACATTAAATACAGAAAAAAACAGACTGCACAATGTAAAACAATAACAAGAGAAAGGAAACCAAAAAATGAACCTAATGTGTGAACAGGGGTGGCGGCAGGATTTGTCCGACAGAGGATGTATAGTCCCTGACAATAACGAAAGTGGTCCAGGAGATGAAGCTCCTGGAAGCTACAAGAGTTTAGGGGTTTCAAAGGCTTTAAATTTTATTGATTTTAGTCTGCCAATGTGGAAAAAATACACAATTTTTCCGCCCCTACAAATTGGGTTAATAATCATGAATCCAATTATTGTTTTGATGACTATGTACCTGTTGATAATTTTGCAGTAGTAGTAAATACCATTTTTGTTTATGAATGAAACAGTCTTGATTGTCCCTTTTATACTATAAGAATACAGAATGATAACCAACAAACTTACACGGATAAACTATTGCACACATTAATATAACATTTGCTCTGTTAAAAAAATTATCAAGGTTTGCTTATTCAAGGTATTTGTGTAGTTTACTCAATTCAAATTATTCACCTACAAACGATTGTCAAATTCAAATAAAATAACCAAATAAAAACTGACAAAAGTTTTACAATCATTGTAAAAATTATTCCATTTGTAAAATTCAACTCAATTAAAACAATATAAATATATATAATTAAATAGAATTCTTAAATAATTGTACACATTGCTATGTTTTACAGAATTCCACCCTTTCCTACAAACACCACTAATTATTGTTGTACTGTACATAAAAATATATCTTATTTCACAAATCAAAATGTAAAAGTATATCAAGGCATTCTATCAAATATACTGTATATTCAAGGGTATGATGAATTATACGGAATGGAAAGCAACATTTAATGTGGATTAAAGCACTTCATCAGTGATTAATACTACAAATTCATAGAAAGGGGCTACTAAACCTGAAAAAGAAATAGAGCTGCATTAAATTACTACCAGTACATAGAATGTCCTTTATCTACATTGCTCCAGTTTCCCAGTTGTATAAAGGGGTACCAGCAAATTTCTGGGAGTAACCCGGCTGTCCCATTCGAGGGGAGCATCACACTCTCATCTGCTTCACACTACAGAAACAGGGTATAAGCTCTAGCCCTTGAGCCCAAGTGCCGAATTACACAGATGCAGGAAGAAAGTTGCAATCATCCAACACCTCAGGAAGCAAAATTTACTACATCACCTCAAACCATATTGTATTTGTATACTATCCCTAATTTATTTGGAGAGGGTAACCTTCAATGATGAATTAAATCATTTTAGATGTGATTACTGCTGTGTTATATTATCAACTTCAAAATCTTCAGTGGCTGAGTCACTAGCTATCCCTCCTGAATTTTAATATATATTTTCTAAAAAAAAAAAGTCTTAGCATGCAATTTGGTGCCACAAACATACATATTTTAACTGAGCCATAACCATGGTAGAGCTGACGTGGTTCAGACCCTCCAACTTGTTCAGATCCAATAACTGCACGTAATAAACATAATAATAACCACTTCTACACAGCTTATAATGTATCAATGGTATTGCTTGCCCTACAAACTTGTAATGCCTACAGAACAATGACAGTACTTCAGTAGTCATCACTACCTGAATCATTCAGTAACCCCTTTTCTGAATCATATTCAAATGCAGGTCCATCCAGTTTAAAAGATCTTTTATTTTGAGACTTTAAAGTCTGCTTCATATGTTTATTATCCTTGTTAACCGTGTCCCAAACTGTCTCCAAGTCTTCCTCAACCCGTCTCTTTTCATCGGTCATGCTGTCCAAGGCAGATTGCTTATCCTTTAGTAGTTGCTGTAGGTGGCGGATCTCTCGGTGATACTGCTCTTTCTGGTTCACATGCGTTGTCATCTCATCCTCCATACGTCGTGACATGCTTCCTAATTTTTCATCAGCTTTCATCTTGTAGTACTGTAGGAAAATCAAAAGTGCATTTTTCATAACAAAATAATTATTGTATTGCAATAAAGAACATTTCACTTCACAAAATAACATTAATGAAACATAACAGAATGGTGTTTAAATTGATGGAAATATGAAAATGCTTTTAAGTCATTATGGTGTCTTCGGAAGGGGGAGTGTTTACATGGCGTATTGTTAAATGTAGCATAGTATTGGATTGGATTTATTCGGTGTAAACACCAAGGATAGCCCTCGAACGTCTAGAAGACTTATTTCCAGTGGGGTCCTTCTGATGGTGATTGGGCAGTACACCGGGAGACAATCCCCTACTCTTTTCGAAGAGTGTACTGCGTTCTTTAACGTGCACATGGGCCATAATGCACACGGGACCAACGGCTTAAACGTCTCATCTGAAAGACGGTGCGCTATTGTAACTTGTATTTCAGCCCTCTAGCTGAAACACAAGGAGAGGCAGCGATGGGAATTGAACCGGGGACCTAGAGATCTCCACAGTTTAGCGCACACAGCGGCTACCACCAGATTAGCCGACTGAGCTAAACTGCTCTCTAATAGTAACAACACATGATTTATTCAAAAAACTATCCAATTACCTTCAATTTTTCTTCCATTCTTCCAACTGCTACATTTCCCTTCATTACCTTATTAACAGCTTTCTTCTTCTCGTGCTCCTGACTTTTAGCCTAAAATAATACAAATCAAAATTTATACTTTTAATACATGCCACATAACTGTTTACCAAAATAACATTTGAAATAAACAATGTATGTATTATAACAATAAGCTGGTGTATATAATAATGCTGGTCATTGGATCAAACACACATGAAGCACATGCACAGCTCCCAAATGAATAATAATAATAATAATAATAAAAATAATAATAACAATAATAATAATAATAATAATAATTATGTTAAATTAATATATAGCACTTCATGCCAACAGTATTCGTTACTGATGCTGATAGTATTCAAACCAGGTACCCAACTACAATCATGTGTGGAGAGGAACATGACATAAAGTACGTTTTCGAGAATACAGCCACCCTCGCACTCAAACTCTAAACTTTCAATTGGAAGCACTATTAGTTTTCACATATAGCTTGAATAATTTAATCACATAAAGCAGTTTTTGATTGTATGTTGTTTTACTGACAGAATTGTTAACAAGTTAGACGCTAAGGTGTTGACAAACTATTATAATGAGTACTGTAGTCGATCAATAAATATTTGGACAACTGAGCTTTAGTACAATGAGGATATATCAATTTGTCAGGGATGGCAATTCTACTCTAAGGTAAAGGTAGGAGAATAACTCCTAACTTGCAGCGTCATTGTGTTGAATTGCGTATTGGCGTGGTCCGTGACTACCTAGCCGCCGTTTAGAGGTGCTTATAGTAGTTACATTTTCACATAATTCCACAATGACAGAGACTTAAATGAACCATAGCAGTGATGTAGAAAAGTTCAATACACCAGTTCTCCCTGGTTTCTTCCAACATGGTATTCCTGACTTTGATATCTTACCATTCTGTGGTAGGCATCCCTCTCAGCAGCTGTCTGTTCTGCAATTTGCAGCACCTTGTTGAGGTGTTGATTAGCAGCTGTCTCTTGGCTTTCAGAATGTTCAACCTGCTTCTGCAACAACACTACCTTCTGCTGAGATTTCCTAGAGAACAAGGAAAGAGAAACCTCTGTTGTAGTGAAATAAATCCAGTTCTCAAAGATAACCATGAAATATATTTTTTTTTTCATTATTTTTAAGTTGTCATTGATGCAGGCTGAAAAATTTGATAAACAGATTATTTATGAAAGCAACTGCATTTTTAGCAGATGAAATGAATGACAAAAATAAAATAATAATATATAAATCCAGTTCTTAAGGATAACCATGAAATATTTTTTAGAGATTTTTTTCAATATTTTTAAGTTATCATTGATGCTGGCTGAAAAATTTGATACACAGATTATTTACGATAACAACTGCATTTACAGCAGATGAAAATGAATGACAAAAATAAAATAATATATAAATCTAGTTCTTAAGAATAACCATGAAATATATTTTAGAGATTTTTTTCATTATTTTAAAATCATCATAGATGTAGGCTGGAAAAATTTGATAAACAGATTATTTACGAAAACAACTGCATTTATAGCAGATGAAATGAAAAGCTTTGTGAAATTGTCCAAAGAGAAGAATGCAGGGAGTTAAATGAGACAAATATAAATATTGTTTTTTTCTTTTTGTGTAGGTACCTTTTATCTCTATGTAGGGCTCTAATTTCTGCTTCCATCTGGGTTTTTTCTGCTTCCACATCAGCAATTCGTATGGCAAGATTCTTTTTTTCTGCTTCTACTGATGATAGCTTTGACAAAGTGTTTTCAATTTCTAATCTCTGTTTGGATTTCAATTCTTCTATTGCTCTATGAAAATGAAAAAAAAAATAACATGATAACTATTATTACCTCTTTTTTACAATACTTTGCAAAGGTTGTGTGAGAAATTTATGAAAAATGTGTTTCTGCAGCAAACTTTCAGTATAAAAGAATATTTAAATTGGTATTTCAGCATTAACTTATTCACTCACTTATGAACTCATACTAAAATGGTTTCTAGTTGATGGGTCACTGTAGTGTTACATTGCTGACAAATATCACTATTACTGTTCATACATGAGCAAAATTTGGATGCAACATGGCAAAAGGGCATACAGTGGCGAAAATGAGTTCTATAGCCTAGTGGGGTCAGTACATCATGTTACACATGTAGATACAAAAAACATTGTAAAAAAGTGTCCCCCGGGCTAGTTAGGGGCATGGCAAAAGGCCATAACTACACAATTTTCAGTAAATTCCCAAGGCAAAAGGGCATAACTGCAAAGATAGGCTGTGATACGCTAAAGCGTGACGTTCTTTCAACAGCCAACCAATCAGAAGAGAGCTTTCTCCCTGGTTACAATGAAGGTTGCTTGTTAAGTTTTATTATTTTTATTATTCTTACTGTTTGTGTACTCACAATTTGTAAATAGAAATCGGTTAAATAGTATGATTCTTGACAGTAGCATATGTCTAGTTAATGTTAGGCAAACATGATAAGTCTAGTTAATTTATGCTATATAATCTTGCCTTACTTTGAATGGCAACAGTTTAATACTATGGAAATAAACTATGGGAAAAAGTAACAGTTTAATAAAAATGATTACCCATGGCAGAATAATAATTCACATTTTAACTAGAAATAACAGTGGCGAAGAGGGACAACTAAAACGATTATTTAGCAAATAACTATGGCAAAGAGGCACAACTACAACATTTATTTAAAGCGAATGGCATGACAAAGAGATATAACTGCACAGTTTATTCGAATCAACTGTGTTCACTAAGCAAACAACTTACTTTTCCATCTAAATCTAAATATATAATACATTTTCTAAATATTTTATTAGAATATGAAAAAAAAAAACAATAATATTCGTAACCATTTTATTATTACTTGAATTTGGATCATAAAGAAGAATTGCTAATAATAATAATAATAATAATAATAGGCCTAATTTATATTGTAATTACATGACTTAAAGTTAAAATATATATTTATTATTTTACTTTGTAAATAAAATTTTAAAAAATAATTGTAATTCTTGTTTAACGTACACATAGAAACAGTCACAGGTGCATTCTAACTAAACAGCAGTTCTATTTCATATACATACGGATGCATCCTTCACGCAGTGACGTAACGCCTATGCGCTCTTGTGTGGGGCCCCAGACCCCTAGGGGTCCATAAGGCCCCCTTCCCACAGAGTCCTCGATATAGCACCTTGATTTTGTTGATACATAACAGCATACTAATGTTAACTCATGTTCTTGTTTGCATACTTGGTTAGCCTATACATGGGTTTTTAATCGTTTGTAATTTTAGTATGTATTATTTAATGCATTTCCTTGGTATAATTGTACATTTATTTGATAGTTTATACATGACTAACATATGAAATTATATATTGAATGTTATTTTTGAATAATCTGACTTAAAATTGCATTGAAAGGAACTAACCTGTGTTAGTTGTGTAATCCTTTTGCCTAAGTTTGTCAACATGTCTTGAATCAGAAAAACCCACGGCAAAAGAGCATAACTGACATTTTGAGCGCAAAAATCAATATTTATAGAAAAAATGTGTGCTACACTTGAAGAGACATTATTTGTCTATTTGAATACATTAACCATGAAATCAAATACTACAACACATTTTAGGGCTAAATAAATTACACGTTTTGCTTAATATCTCCAAAACAGCAAATTGTCAGTTATGCCCTTTTGCCATGGGAGGGCAGTAAAGTGTACCACTGTATCAAAATTGTAGTCTCCTAATAAATTATTAACTTTATGAAACTGCTGCATCTTATATCTGAAACGTAGTAGTGTGAACCAAACTGCCTTAACAAAGATTTTGTTTTACATTATTGTCTACAATAGTTCATTTATAATGTATTCATTGGGAAGCTCTCTCACTGAATTTTGAATATATATGATCTTACTTTTGTAGTTCACCGACAGTACTGATGTGTTCTTCTAGTGGCATCTTTCCCTCGTTGATCACAACCAATGTCTCATGTTGATGTTTGAGGGCGTGGTATTTTACCCTTAGTTCTGATAACTGTGCATCTAATTCATTTTTCTCCCTGTCCACCATAACCATTCGTTTGGAGAGTTTACTAACTGGCAACATAAGTAAGAAACATTTATACAATCATAGCTGCTGTTTGATAACAACAAAAAATAATGATTTATTGTATTCTTATTGTATAGTTATTGATATTAATCTTTCTTATACCCTCTATTAGTTTTCTTATACATACCTATAGACAATCTTTATTTATTTACAATACTAATTTTAACTGTAGTTTGTGGTTTCATAAATGGCTATAATACTTTACTACAAATCCTATGTTTTCTTTGAATAACTGAAAGCAGATAAACTCAGATTCCTAAACTGGCAGTAATCACTGTGTGTGCACTTAACGAAGCAGATCTTACATAAAGCCATTGGTCATGTGAGGAAAAGGCTCTTGTAAAATGCAGTACACTCTTTTAAACAGTGTAGGGCGGTTGTCTTCCAGTAAACTGCCCAATTCTCTATTACAAGGAACACACTTCAGACTTTTGTGGATTATTATTGGTGTTATTCACACTAAATAAACCTAAGGGTTTGTGAGCTATTACCCTCACTATTTCAATTTGACAACTCTATGTACTTCACTACAGAAGAAAAATACAATGCCAGTACCTTGAAATATTCTTTTAAATTATAATTTAATAATGGACAAACATAATATAACAAACCTTCCTGAGAGTGCTGTTTATGGACTTGTTGCTGTTTTTCATGCTGTATGTCCATCTGCTCCATTAACAACTGGTTCTCCTCAAGAACTAACTTAGCCTGCTCCTGTAGCTTATGCCTAGAAACATAAACAAGTAATATTATAGATATTGAACTGTCGGGCAACTATTAATGCCAAGTTGATTTCATAAAGAAACCCATCAAATAATCTTCCACATTTCATTAAGCAGAAAATGATAATTTTTCATAAAAAAAAGTATGATTTTAAATTGGCCTACAATATCTGGTATTATTCACTGACAATATATCTTCCATAAGCTGTCACTCCTTGCATGCTAAGGTCCCACAGGACAGTGTAAAAACATAAGCAAAGATAAATGTGTTTGTGGGACAACACAAGTGTGCTTGTGAGACACGTGCCTATTCCTGGTGCGCTGTTCTGATTGGTCAATTGTTAAGTTTGATTGACACTCAGCAAAGGTCCACTTGCACCTCCCCATACAGAATCTTGGTAATATTCTAGCTCTGAATCCAATGACAAGGGGAAAAAGCACATTGTAATGGATGTGTGCACAGTATAACCAAAGGGGCTGATGCATTGGTTGTGGCTTAGACTCCCAACATTGAGGTCAGGGGTTCGAAACTCACTGTGCAAGTTGCTTGTGTCCTTGGGCAAAGCACTTTGTCTATGTTTGTTTTTCTCTACCCAGGAGGAGTATAAATAGGTACCTGTTAGGATGTTGTGGCATTGACTGTACTAGTTTTGTGCACTCAGTACACATCATGCACGACTAGGTATATTCGGGGACAAGAGAAGGTTGCACTTTGTGCTGGTTTGCTGTTGCATGTTATCCAGTGACCAGGATCACTGATTTGCGCTATATATAAATCTTCAGCATAATTATTATTATCAAATAATTATACATTTTTTTTCTAAATAACCCCTATCCCTGCACATACCATTCCATCATTGTCACCTGTGATGGCTGTTCTGTTTCTTCTAATTGCAGGTGTAACATCTGGTTCTCATGTAAAACCTGTTCTACATTCTCCTTAATCTCTTTCAATTCCTTCTGGTAAGTCATGATGGTGTTGTCTTTTTCTGTTAAACGATCCTCATATGCCAAGATTAGAGGTGATAAGTAACGTGTATCGGTAAGCCACCGGGGACTACTTCCCCTTGAAGGTAAACCTGGTGGGTCTCCTTTCTGAAACGGAAAACAATATGATTTTCTAATGTTTTTTCTTTGTATATCTTGGAATTAGATGACCTGTACCTAGTGCTGAAACACATTGTGAGCTAGTTACAACCCATCAACTGTGCAATTTTCAGTCAAAGCATGGCCCGCCGAGAATAATCAGGGTAAGGCTTGCACTCTCAACCAAAAGGTTAAGAATCTGAATGGCAAACACAGCGCCAAACCGCCTTCTTGATTTGAAATCACTTAAACTCACATACAGACAGCAGACATTTTTGTTTTTAAATTGCCAATATTTGTTTACCCTAAATTTAAAATAATTAAAAAGAAAATAATTTAAAGTTGCTCTACCTCCAGGGGCCTGTATTTTGCCTGGTATCGACTTAGCTCAATGCTCAGTTTGTGGACGGTTACTTTATGCATATCAATTTCCTTTGTATAGTCTTCAAGCTGCTGTTTCAAAAATTGAACTGAGGTATCTGAAATAGTTTTTGTAAAACCATCCTTAGTTATGAAATAATCATTTAAAAAACATTAAATACATAAGACCAAATAAAAAATTTACTATTTGCTATTTAAAAAAAAAATTTTTTTTTCATCAAACAATAAAAATAATGACGATCTGAAAGACTGTTGTTAAAGCCTAAGATGCGGAAACTTAAATGGCAGACAACATTACAAAGAATTCTTTTATAATTTTTACAAGTCAGTAAATAGCAAATTGTAAATAGCCTCACCAAAAAATTATTTCAAATCCTGGACGTGATTTTTTTATTTGATTTATTTTGCATTCAATATCACACACATAACAATAAAATTTTGAGAACGTACATAAAAAATAAAAGAGATGAATAATTAATTGAATGCCTGGATGACCCATTAAGTCTAGTGATTGTACACCAGACTTATTTCCAATGGGGTCCAGAAGCCAGGGTAATTATTGCACAAGAGCGAATATTTACAGATAGTGATCTGGCAAGGTTTAGAATATATAGTAAAAGATATAAAATAGGTAAACATAGGCCTATTTAAAATTAAAAATTGAAAAAATTGTAAAAATGTTAAAACTGAACATTAAAATTACAAATTGAGTAAAAAAATTAAATATAAAAACTGTATGTAGTAAAGGATAAAAACAGGAAACATTAAAAATCAGTAAGTAAAAATTCTTTAAGCTTTCTCTTAAACATCCTGTGGTCAGTAATTTCTTTAAGATAATTGGGTAGAGCATTCCAGTCTCAGATACCAGTTGCAAAAAATGAAGTGTGATTAGCACCTTTTGTTTTTGGAACAACAAATTTATTTATCTTGTTTCTGGTGTTGTATCGGTGTTGACTTGAGATTGGGGTAAAATTTAGGTACATATAATCTGGACATTTGTTGTGGTAGATGTTATGAATATGATTGAGTTTAAGATATTTGACATGGGATTTAATATTCAGGTATCCCAGACTGGAAAGCTCTTGATGTCCAATATGGGACCTTGGGCCAAAATTTAAAACAAATCTGGCAACTTTATTTTGCGTAGTCTGGAGTCTCAGTTTAAGAGAGTTACTTATACTACTGTACCAAGCACACGCAGAATAGTCAAAAAGGCAAGAAATTAGGGCTGAAGTTAAAAGTGAAACAATTAATTCTATTTGGACTAATTCTATAATCCCTTTCCTGAGTTATCTTCATGCACTGGCTTAATTTCAAACACAAAACAACATCCACTCTCTTTTCTATTTTCAAGAGTTCATGTCATGTGGAATTGCCTATGATCTCCATGACATGTTATACTCACCATCTTGCTGGGATGACCTTGATGCCTTAGTCTTCAAGGTATGGTTTTCTATATGGAGCTGTTCATTGACCTTTCGGATGGCTACATTTTCAGTGTGCAGTTCCTCACAGAGGTCATTAATTCTGACAATTTCTCTTTGAAATTCTAAAGAAAAATGGAATTTTTTCAAAAACAAATGCATTGATTGAAAAAGTAAATTGAGCAGAAGCTGCCAGGTGGAATGCAAGTAAAATGGAATCAACTAAATACAGTAAAGTATAATGATGCTATTATAAACAAAACTCTCATTATTAGTATAGGCACAGAAAATATATGTATTCCAAGAGTGTCAAATGACAAAAATAAAGAAGTATTAGCTTTTTTTTTATAAGATTGTTAAAATATACTTGTGTAAAATCATAAATTATATCATATTGCATCAGTTTTTACAGGTGAGTCGAATGGCCGAGCGGTTAGCAAGGGCGCCGCAAACTATAGCCATAATATCAGCGCTGGTTTGAACGGCATGCTCGCCTATGGTTCTGGTGGTAGAATAAGTCTTCTCGGATAAGTACTATAAACTGTAGGCCCAGTATATACAATGGCTTGTGTGCACTATCAAGAACCCAGTACATCCTTCAAGACGAGTAGGGGGCTACCCCGGTGTACTGGAACAGACAGCCCCTGTAGTTGACGACTACTACTACTATTATTTCACCAGTAAAAAGGTAAAAAAAAAAAATGCCTTGACTGGCCGGATTGCCCGAAAGCTACACAAGTATGTCACTGTCACAGGCACTAATGACAGCACATACAGTACAAAAATGCATTCAAGTATATTAAAAAATATATAATAAATATAACATTTCTTACAATTTCATTAAAAAAATTTAAAAGCAATTATAAATGAATGTTAGTACTATACCATCTCTAGTTTGTTTCTTTCTGTGCTCTTCATCAGCCATTATTCTTTCCTGTTTCTGATACTCTCTGGTTTTCTTTAATTCCTCTTCCTGGCGTCTCTGCATCTCTTGACTCTGTCGCAATTGCTGCTGCTGTTGCTGCAGTGTCTGTAGTAACTGCTGCTGTTCCTGCTTTACATGCTTTAGTTCTTCTTCTAGCACTTGACTACTGGAACCAACTAGAAGGATAAGATCAAACTGTATATGCAAATATTATTACTACAAAAGAAAAATGAAAATCAAGCCATCCACAAATCCTAAGGCACTAATTCCTTTATACTTTTATGTTATAGGTTAGGCTCCTATTCATTTTTTTTAAGTATACAAATTACAATTTAGGTCAATTAAATATAGTGTAGGTATAGAAATTTAGGTCAGAGAGCAGACTGTAATAGATAAATAGACCATAACCATATTCTTCCCGCTTAGGATGAAGCAAGACTCCTGCATAATTACACACATTCAAATACATATATGAAGTTACAGACTAACAATTATAGTATATTATATACATAAAAATACTCTGTAGAATATGATATAAAATGATTTTATCGGAGCTTGGTTGACTATATTTTTTACTTCATAAGTAACGGAATTTTGAACATGAAAATAATAATCAGCAGGAAACTAGGTTACAAAGGCCATAATTACTACTTAGTTTCTCATCATAAAAATGTGTACAGGTTTTTTTTTTATACAAACCTGGTCTACACACACACACACACACACACACACTAACACAGAAAATAGCTAATCCAGCCATCTACAGGGTCATTTCCAGCCATTTTAGAGAGTCACTAGATTGTCAACAATAAAAAAAAAAATTGTGGGGCCAACATGGAAAAGTACTCTAGTCTACAACCCATCATTTGGCACCATACAAAATAACTGAGATCCCCTGACATAAAGTAAACAAAAATAAACTTGCATAGTAATCACGACCTTTGTAGCCAAGTTTCCATGCTGAGTTTCTGCTAATACTGCAATATGTTTGTAAATTATAATTACAAGGTATTTCTCTTTTCGTTTACCTTGTTGCTGAGCGAGAAACTCTCCAAATTCTTCTGTTCTCTTCTTTCTACTCGGCGTATGACTTGCACCAGTCAAAGCTTGCTTGACAACCTGCAAACATAATCATTTTGACTGAACAATGCAGTGCTTGTCGATCAAAGATACTAGATATACATAGAGCACTGGCATAGTAAAAATGAGGCGGAAATTGGGCCTGATGTAGGTGGCGCCCTTCTTTTTTATAATGCAAGTTTTCTATACTTCGGGCCTGACGTACAGGGCGCCCTTCTGTTGCTAAGTATATCCAGACGCACACGGCGCCCTTCTTTTTCCACTAATGGAGGAAAACTTTATCACTAGAGTGCGTCCGGCCATAAAATTCTGCGCTATATTGTTCCTTTATTCTTTACTGATCCATGATTAGGATTAATTGTTTTGTGTTTTATTTAGATAATAGCAACGATTTCTACCTTCGCCAAGGAGGTTATGTATTCACCGATGTCACTGTCTGGGTGTCTATTCCAGTTTGTTAAAATGTTAATATATATTTATAATATATAGCTAATTTTTTGTTTAATGTCAGTGCAATATTTTACCTTTCTCTTTCCCTTCGGAAAACGATATAAATGATAACCTTGTTTGCATAATGTGTTGCAACTTATTACACAGCAACACAGCATCTTCCAATGCTGTACGTCGCCATAGCGCATCACGGTGTACAATTTTTTAAATTGAGAATTGACAATTAAATAAGCGACGACTTGGTAACAAAAGTTTGGTAGAAGTTATTTACATCCAGCCGTACAGGGTGCCTCATTGTTTGAATTCCCACCATGCATTTTGGTGGAACACTTTTTTTCTGTGGAGAACTTTACCTTGTGTTTCTAGTATCTTTGTGGTCAATTAATTTACCAAATCCTGAGGACATTTTGGTAGATATTCACATGATGTTGGCATTCAAATGATGCTACATTCTACTGTATGATGTGATGTTACTGATTACTACAAGAAATACTCACACAAATGTGAAGAACTTCCTCAATCCTCAACTTAAGTTGTATTATAAGTCAGTTGTAATGTTACCTCACCATTTTCATTTGCACATAATTTTCCTATCCCGGACCAAGTACAAATTAAGTATCAATTTTTTGCTTTTCGTTTGAAAAAACAAAATGAGAGCTGGGAGTTTATATTGCGATGAATACTTTGTTGCAATCCAAGCACTGAACGCAGAGAGCGGACCTAATCTCGCTCAACGGCGCAGGCTGAAACGAATGAAGCCTAAACCACCGACCTAGGCAAGGCCTAAAAGGCATACGTCTATGAGATAAGGCAATTGATTTATAAGTAGATTGAAAAGAGAAGGCAATGCTGAAATATAGAGTTTTTTTTGTATTTATTTTTTATGTATCTTAAATGTATTTACTGATATCTTAGTAACTTGTAAGTTTGTTGTTTTCAATTATTTATTAAGCATCAAAATTGTAATTTCATAGTTCATGTGTTTGGAATATCTTATCTAATTATCTTCATCGTATCGCAAAGAGCAGTGGGTTTAAGACAATTTTTACAGGAAATAATGGCTCCTTCAGCCTCTATTTTCTAGAGGGTCCTCAGAACTTGACTATAATAATTGCATATTAATATCTTCATTTAATGTTAAATTTTCATTATATGATAATTTTGACTGAATAAAGAATGAATGCATGTAATGAATGAACAAAGATTCCAAATAATCTTAAGAGGCTTTGTGGATTACTTGTATGAGTAGGCCTATTATTAAAAACTGTTTATAAAAAAAAAACATGCTACTTCACAATATACAACAGTCTAAATTAATATCAATTTTTCTGTATTGTTAAATTTTATTATTCACCTCACCTTAATTTGATATGAAGTTCTGAGTGATTATTTTTTAAAGGGAATTCAAGACTGTTAATATTTTTCTATTCTTTTCTTATTTATAATTTGTAGCATTCGAAATATTTGTTATTTTAGTGTTTCTTAAAGTTCCAAAATATAAGAACTGTGTTTCAAGAATTATTAAATTTTCATCATATAAATCATTTAAATTAAAATTGCATTCCATATAAATTCATGTATTATATTTGAAAATTTTATGTGTGTATATAATATTCTTACAAATAATATTTTAAAAGTAAAGTAAAATCAAAAACATAAGGAGAAAGTATGAGTTTATGGTATTTTAAATGTTACTATTGTTGCATGGTATACAACTGAATGTTTAATGTACCAGTGGCAGTCTATACTACCTCAGCCCCACCATGGAGGAAACTGATCATTATGGTACTGGAAATGGCACTCTGAGACTTAACTTTGAATATACAGTAATTGTCTTTTTTCTCTATTCCTTTTATAATATTGAAACATTTAGGAGGGTCCAGGATGGTTGCACCTCCTCCCCCACCCCACTTCAATCCTCTATTGTGTAGCTCATACAGTTAAAAATTAAATATAAAATCCAAATAATTACAGTTTCTGTGATTGGCTGCTCCACAACTTTAGAAGCCATGTCAGTGGCTCCTTGACTGGAACGCAGGTCACTTACAGCCAATGAAGACAAGTCTTCTTCAGTTTGTGGGCTTTCACGACCTAATGAACATAAACAAATTTTGTATTAATTGTAAGTATGCTAAAATATGTTTTATATAGTTCAAATGAGTTCAATTAGAAAATGTATTATACTTACATAAAACAAATCTATATCAAAAAATGTAACTTAGAAAGCTCTAAAATAAGGAACCATAACTGTTAGAGTTTTATCTTGGTCTTCCAAAATAAAAGCTTATGTAACTATAAATTCTTCCTTATACAGAAACATACAATAATACAGTAGTATGTTTCCCCAAACTCAAATAATATTATCACAGCTTCACTTCACTTAAACATAAAGACCCAAGTAATTCAGACTGAATATACGTAATGGCAAAATTAAATATGATCATTTGAATAAAATAAAGATATGAAAAATTATCTAAAATAAAAATTGAACAATTTTCAGATATTTATTTAGCATATCTGCACAAGTGTTACTGTGTTCATTTCTGTTATTGTTAGTTACAACATACATCTAGGAGTGCCCAATTGCCTGCACACAGCACAATGAATTTTAGATGTTTATTTTTTTTTTGGTGGACAGATTGCATTCAGCGTCAAATACATAGATTGTTAGATTCCTGATGATGACATAATTAATGTCGAAATATTGAATCCCAACACGATGGCGTGTATTTCAATACTTGGAGTATGTATTATACTTTCTTAGATTGTTTGGGTGCTGTACCTTTTTTGCCCCGGGGTTTCTTCCAAGGTGGGGGTGGCGTCTGTAGGTCTGAGAAGTCATCAGCAGGTGATACCTGTGTCAGACTACTGCTCACTGATTCTTCTGAAATCTTTCTCTGGAAAATATAAATTTATGAGAATGTAACAAACATAAACATAACATTTAACTTAGAAATCTACCTTAGTACTGTAGACCTGCCAAGTCTGATAAACTTAACAGTATAATAATGCAGATCATAAATTGTTAAACTTATCTTGATATTAAAATTGACATTTATTTATTTGACCATTTATAATCACAGAACAGTAAACAAAATTTCAAGAGCCTAGGGCATATAAGGCACATAGATTACTATCTATTCAATTTAATTTGATTTCATCAGCCATCAAGAGCTATTATCCGCCAAGCACACAATAACAATGAACACAATACAACCACAAATGTATACCAGGGGTAATTTTAAGCTTAACTATCTATAATAGGGCCTAATAACAAGAGCAGTTCTAATGCCAGAAAAGAACAACAATAGATAAATATAAATAAGATCATCCTAGGCAGCTCAGACAATATTTATTCATTATTATTCTTCTTATGACTGTATGACCACTTAATATCTACACAATAAAAAAATTATACTGATATGGTTATATATTATCAATGCACTTTCATATTCAAGTATAGTATCGTAAGATAATAAACTTTTCATTAAAAATGTTTAGTTATTGTTATTATTATTATTATTATCATTATTATTATTATTATTATTTAATGATGTTCAGTCATGCAAAAGACAGAAAAAAGTGATGTCCTAAGTAAATACAGTACAAAGAAAATCACTGATTATGTACAGCATTTTATAACTGAATCCATTATCAAGTAATGCATTATCCATCTATTTCAATTTATTACAATATATATCTAAAAATACAAAACGAGATAATGCTGTAACAAGGCTGTTTGTAGTTTCATTCACTTAATGATTTCACAAAGCATTCTCTTCACTTATCCTGGTACATCCAAATTAGCATAACAATTTTTTTAATTACTAGTAGTAGTTAAGAGATTTTAATACCAGATACGATAATTGTTTGTTTGAATGACTTTACCTATGCGTAGTTTATAAAGTAGTGGCATTGGTTGCATGAAAATATCATAGTATAGAAGGAATAAAATGAATACAACATAAAATTTAAAGCCGTTTAGATGAGAACAAACAACGAGTTGCAAGGGAAATAACAGAGTATAACCTGTTCTATTGATTCAACAAACTACATAAGCCAATTCTTAGTTTGAACTGCACATGCCCGTATTTAAGGTCAATCGACATAAACCTACGTTGTGCATGTTTATTTATGCTGACTGACCTTGATACGGCCATGAGCACTTCCAACTATGAATTGATTTATTTCTATAAACTTACTACAGGGATTTTATTTGGTAAGGCATAGATTGGTTCCTCGACAGTACTTTGCTTTGCTTGTGAGCTTTCCTTTATGTTAGAAGGACTAATGTTGTCCTTCACTTCTTCTGCACCATCATCATCATCATCACTTAAATCACTCAAGGTGGGCGTATCTAATCTTGGACGACCTGATATAGTACCTCGCTTATCAGATTGTCTCACTATCGGTACAGTTGAATACCTAGGGAAAATATTAATGTTTTGTACAATATAATTATAAAAAATAAATAATAATAAATCTTTAAAAAAGTGCTGATTAGCAGGCACAAAATAACATTATCGTCATAAATTATGATTATTGTCTTCAAAGAAAATAGTTCATTAAGATACTAACAACAATGAATACAAACTCATTGGGTTAAAATTTTTAAAAAAAAGTTAAATTTTTTAATATTTTTAGTTATATTTTTGGAAAAAAAAAATAAATAAAAAAATAAAGTTGTATACTTAAAAGAATCAAAACTCGGTAATCATGCTGTGTTAAGATCTGTCCTCAGACAGATTTTCAATATTTGTTTCGGGCATGATGATAATATACCACACCCATTAGCAAGGATCCCAAGTGTTCTGCAAGTTGCAGAAGTCTCCAGGAATTCGGGACAGCCTCCCACACTCCCAAAAGCATCCTTGAATCTCCCGGAAAATAACCCATCTTCTGAAAATTGATAATGCAGTAGAACACCACTATTAAGGAGACACTTTTTCAGCCACAAAAACTAGTATATTTTTTAAAACCACAGTCAACCCTATTCAGGAGACACCCCTATAAGGAGACACTTTTGTTGATGCCAAAGGGAGGAGTTCTACTGTATTTGCATGTTTTTACTACTTAATTTATGAATTGTCTCACAGAAATCGGTGACAATGGGTAGCACCATGCACAGAAAAATAAAAAATTAGATGTTAAAAAAGCTCCCAGAAATGACTTTCCAACTTGAGACCCCTGCAAAAGAGCATGATGGTTACATCACACCCAAATGTGGGCCAACCACAGGTACTGTACTTCAAATAAAACCTAACAGTATAGGCAAAAACCACATGATTCAAAATGTGACAGATTTCGAGTCGGTGACTATTCTATGTGTATACTGCCACCCAAAAGTAAAATGAATACTCCAAAATTAAATTTGGAATTGCCCATTCTAAATAAATCACAGATCAAATCTATCGGTTTTCAAATACTTATAGAACTTCTACTGAAAAATTCTGGAAAAAAATAAGTATTATGCAAAGATTATAGACATGATTTGTCTGCTAATTGGCAACTGAAATTGTCATTTGTGTAAGCCAATAACGACTAAGTAAACTAACAAACAAATCTTCGCATAATACAGGTGTCCCTACAATTAGAGACCACTTTGGGATGGGATTTCCATGGTCTTTAGAGTTTTTGTCTCTAATAATACAATAATAAAGATAAAAGACACTTATTATTTGGGATCACAGGAAAGTGGTCATTAATTAGAAGTAGTCTTTAATTGGAGGGATCCTTAATTAGAGGAAGTACTATATGATAAAATTATGTTAACTAGTATTCATTGTATTGATAGTATGTACATATATTTCAAAATTTGTATTAATTTTTCAAGAAAATGCCCCCTTACCTCTGATCAGTATTATCTTCCTCATCTTCATCATCATCCTCCTCATCTCCATAATCATACATACTGCTCCGGCCCATGCTGTTGTCTGTAGTCAATTCACGATCCAAACTCTCACCTCTATGGTCTTTTGGAGGGGGTGTTCCTATCATGCGACCCACCAGGGTGGTGTTGAGAATAGCAGTTGATAAGGCAGAAGGAGGTCTTGACGAGCCTGCTACTGATGCAGGCCTTGAAGTTGCTTCACGAGACGGGCTTGGGGTTCTCGGAACAGCAGCAAACATCGCCCCTGGCATGAGAGCTGACCCAATTTTGGACTAAAAAAAATGAACAAGTATGAATGATCTTATCAAATTATTTATACATAATTATTTCCAGGCTGATCAATTATTATGGTGTTCCAAAATGTTGTTGGAATTTTTTCCATTATATTTAATTTCACTTACTGGAAGTTTCCCTTTTTTTTTTTATTATTGATTTATTGTTAAATTCAGTGTTGATTAAGTTTACAAAACAGTACTCTCATGAAATTTATATAACATCAAAATTTTATTTTTGTTCATTGTTTTGTTTGTTTTCATGTGATTTTGCTCGTTGTTGACCCTGCTACGACTGTTCCAGTCTAGAATTCATTATACGTGATTATTCGCTAAAGGAAGCTACAGTACATTAACACCTGTCTAGCTCCTGTGATTATGGATTCACACGAACGAACAAACAGTCAAAATAACGTTATTTGGATAGGCAAATTAAACTTTTTTTAAATTTTTGATCCGATGACGACCTAGATAGCTAGAAACAAAACCGATAGGGGGCGCTGTTTTTCGGAGTTCCAAACATCGCGATAGAAAATAGTGCCCCGACGGATGATAGGATACCCAATGTATTAATTGGGTATTTCGCGGATATATATCACAATTTGGCCGAAATAGTTCCGGATAACTCTCCAGAAATAAATTCTGAGCCAAAAAATGTTTTTTTCAAGTGCGCGAATCGACTCGGTAAAAGTTTTTTTTTACAACAAATGTTTAGACGCTTTTCAAGAATAGAAGAAATCCTTCGCTAGTTTTTTTGTTAACGGGTTTTTTTTTCTTCAGTTTTTAAACTATAAAGGTAAGTAGGTTTTAAATAATAATTGTTGTACCAATAATTTTAAAAGATTTTCCGAAATATATTATTCTATTACCTTGTCTCGTACTGGAGCTAGGCTCGGCTTCAACGAATAGAGGGCGCCCCTTGATAATTTTACGGCGGCTACACGCGGGGTAAACTATGTTTTCCCGCTGGCTACCGTGTTGTCTGAGCCTACAGTTAGGCCTAGTGTAGAGTTAGGAGATTTCTATCTATTTTACGTAGAATCTATCAGTTTATAAGTTTATAATAATTATGAAATCTAGCCTAATATAAATTTGATGTTTATTATGAAATCTAATATAAGTATATACCAAATTATAAACGTTTGTAATTGTCAAGTATTATTTTAGATAAAAAATCAGAAACTTATTTATAAAAATCAATTATTTTTTTATTTTTTTTTTAAATAATTTCACAAAACTATACAACAGCTTATTTAGGTAATATATTTTACTGTCTTCCAATTATTACCAAACATAATTTTATTACTATTGTAGAAATAAATAAATTAAAATAATTTTTTCCCTAATAAAAACTATATAACAGCATATTTACATAAATATTATCTTCCAATTGTTAACAAACATAATTTTATTATTCTTGTAGAAATAATTTTGGTTAATTATTATTTACTAATTAATTAGAAGACAACAAACAGTGGGCACCTGTCTCTTATACACATCTAGATGTGTATAAGAGACAGATATAACTGTAGGCATAGTTCTATAAAACAAATTGTATTAATACTGTAATCTCAGTATTACATTAATTAGGCCTATTGTTATGGCCATTTTACTTCTTTTGCATTATTTCGCATTCTTGTTGCTACGGCAAACGCGCGTATGGTTTATACGCGCGTGCGTAGAAAATCATACGAAAGTATCTTTTGGTTTGGTTTTAAGATTCATCTGTTTTATCGATCCTAAGCCGAGCACACCTTGTAAGTAGACTTAATTATATGATATATAAATATAACTTAATTATAATATAATTTGGAAGTTCAGATGATTGTTTTAGCATGTATTTTTAATATAGGCCTTGCATGCCATTATGGGATATGAGGACCAATTCTTAAGTTTTATTAATTGTTAATATGATTAGTTATTGATTGATTGATGATTATCGTTATTTATTATCTATTGTTACTATTTTGTAGTTCAATCGTGACGTTGGTTAGACTGTATATCGACCCGACTATTTAAGGGGCGAGTTTGTAAGGGGCGAGTTTGTAAGGGGGGCGAGATTGCAAGGGGCGAGTTTGCTTAGGGGAGAGTTGACTGGTTCCTGACTTTTTCATTTGGTGCTGTTACTGTTTGTTTTATTATAATTTTCTAATTTCAATTTTAAAATTTATATTTCTTGTTTCTTAACATTTCATTTAAATTACAAGGCCTGGGCCTAAAAACTAAATAGAGCGTTTAAAAAGGGCCTAGGCCTAGCTGGTCTCTCGATATCATACACACCCCCTCTTTGATGGGCTAGGCCTAGCCTAGGCTAGAGCCTAAATATGCGGACGCCATTCATTAGGCCTAGGCCCTGGCCTATGGATGGGCCTTTATTTATTTTTGTTTGGGGCCTAGGCCTATGGTTAGGCTTAGATACGCACAAATTAATAGAGAATCTACACCTAAGACTACCGGCTAGGTCTACTTTACGCCAGCACAGGCAAAAGCTTCCTAGGCTAGGCCCTAGGCCGAGTTATAATTATTAAAAACATAAATTGATTTTTGATAATTTTTTTAGCGTCCATCATCGCATAGCAACAACTGAACTAGGCCTAGCCTACCATCCAACCACTAAAATTATTACAAAAAATGCGTCCTATAGAGTCGCAGTGCAATAATAATACATGACATTTTTACAACGTAAAAATCAAAAAAGAGTACTTTACTTACAAACTTGTTCTTTCCTTTCTTCTTTTTTTCCTTGCCAGCCATGTTTCAGGGATGCTTTTGATCAAGTTTTGATGCTTTTTGAATCACAGACCGGATTCAACGTTTCACCCCGCGTATGGAACGCCGGTAGTGTCCTTAAGATGTGTTTTCGACGTCGATGAATGGGATTATGAATCAGAGGTCTGGGTTCAAAATTAGGGATGGGGTCAAAATGTTTCCCAAAAACCTCAAAAAGGAAGGGGGTCCGGAAAACGGTCAGGTAAACGTTCTCATTCTTATTGCAGTATTAATAGGCCTGTTTTATGTGTGTATAGGCCTACATATAAAAAAAAAAATGGGTAGTTGCATACGTATTCCTTTTTTCATGAATCGACAAACACCAAAGAGAAATGGGTGCAGGGGTTCTTCCCCCAGCAAAATTTCCATCCTTTAGATGGCGGGAAATGAGCTTTTTCGACTTCTGAGTTGTCTTTTAATTCCGTTTAAGTTCTTCAAAATTTAAAGTTTTCCCCTCTTGAAAACAATTCCAGGAATCAATGAACCCCAAAAAGAAAGGGGGTTCGGGTTCTCACCGGAAAAATGTTGATTTAAAAATAGCGGGAATGAGCTTTCCCGGGACTTCTGAAGTGTCTTTTAATGACTTTAAAATTCTTCAAAATTCAAGGCTTTCCCCCTTGAAAATGGTAAGGTAAAATTTTCTCATTCTTATTACAGTAAATAGGCCTATTATGTGTGAACCGGTATACATATGTTGTGTACGTATTCTTTTTTCCATGAATCGATGAACCCCCAAAATAAAAGGGGTTCAGAGGTCCTTCCTCGAGAAAATTTTAATTCCTAGATGGTGGGAAATGAGCTTTCCCGACTTCTAATTTTCTTGTATAAGTAACATAAAAAATTCAGCTCACGGCGGTTCCTGATAAGTTAGGTCTATATTCTTTTTATTTTTATTTATTTATTTTTTTGCCTAAGGGTAAGAACCCATGATTCTCCCAGATCCACCAATATAAATTGCGAGAAAATGTAATTCGGTCAGGAAAATGGATAAACACTCTCTTTCCGCTCCCTTTCACCCTTTTTCCTTCTTCCTCAGTTTCTCGAATTTCTTTTTTCTTTCCGACCTGGCCATGTTATGATTACATCGAAAATTGGACCAACTCTATTGTAAATAAAATAATAAAAGAAGCTTGTATTGAACCGATAAGTAATCTTGATCCCAAATCTTCCCTTTCAGATTATTAAGAAAAACAGAAACTTTACACTCATATTTTACTGTTAGAAAGATGAATCTCAAGTTGGTGAGATCATAGTGATGGCATTATGATTATTATTAATGGCATTTCTTTTTTACTGCCCTTCAATAAATCAGACTGAAAGAAATTTTACGTAAAGATGAGCTCATAGATAACAATAATAATTGGAACGTTCCAATGTATCAATTTGAATCCCATCAAATCAACCAAAACTGTACTGTTGGCCGGAAATGGCACTTATAGACTTAAAATTGAGGGCCCCCTCTCTTCAATCGTTATAATTATGACATATGCCCTACAGTAGATTTCAGAGACACATTATGGTGCTATTTATCAACAAAGTCCTTTTTGGTCAGGGTGCTAGATCGAGGAACTTAAGGGTAGGGCCACTTCGGGGCCCCTAGAAGTCGGTGGCCCTGCGAACCGCCGCATGAGAGCGCATAGGCGTTACGCCACTGTACATTTCAATGCGAGTTTTCGTCAGGATGTTCTGCCCTACCTGACGTGTTATCGCACCAAATACTCAGTACGTCCCCAAATAATTCTGAAAAAAAAAAAGTTGATAAACACTTATGGATTTATCATGTACAGGTGTGTGTATGTTTTTCGTGTTTATGCTCATGTGCATTAGTTTGTGTTTTGGTCTGTATACTATTTCAGTATTTGCAATACATTTTAATATCAAAAAGCCAAAAAAATTTTTTTTTAATAACTATATTGTAAAATTTTTCCCAGGTTCCATTTCTGCCTATTTCAGGTGTATAATCATGTTCTTACTGTATTAAGTTATTTAATATAGAAACTCTAATTGTACAGCAGTATATTAC